AGATCTGGATGTGGGTCGCTGAGGACAATGAGTGTTTCCAAAGGATTCCAACCACTTGCTAGCGACAGGATTGCAAGAAGCCCTTTGTTGGCTTGAGACGAGTCACTTCATGCATGGATGGGCCCACACCAGTTGACTTCTTGATTTTTTTTTGGGCTGGGAGTCTTTATCTTGTCAAAGGATGACTGCTTCCAACCACTGTTTACAACCGGTAGAAGCTTCCCGCAACCAGCGACACATGTTGAGTCATTTGTTTGGCCGCGTCTTTGATCCGAAGGTACGAGGTGAGGCTTGGCCGGCAAAGCTCACGCCCTGAATTCCTGGAAGCGCCGGATTCCAAGTCCTTTGGGGCACTTTTCTGAGAGATGGGCGCAGGGTTGCTCTCAGGCTTAAGATGACCCACAGCAAGCGACACATGTTTGTTGTTTCAAGACGACCAAGCCACGCTTGCGGTTTCAAGACGACGCCAACTTTTGCCAAATGTGCAAGGCACCAGAGCACACTTTCCTAAGGCAACCCTTAGCCACTCGCCTGGTGGGTTCGGAGACTCATTGCCTCAAGCTTTCGCTTGGACTCGGAGACTCGGTCTAGGGCCCCGAATTCGAGAAGTGACCGACTGAAAAGCAGGGCCTGTGAAAAGACCTGTGTCCGAGAGCTTTGGATATTGGGGGTCGTCTTTTTCGAGGGAACCCCCCAACATATGCGGTTTCTCTTTGGAATCTTCAGCACACACCCCGAAAAGGGGTACCTTCAAAAAACGACAGGCCCTTTTTATGTTTGTACAGTGTACAGGGCTGCACGCCAGCGATCTCTCGCTCCGAAAAAAGAGCCGGCCCTGACGTGGGCTTTTGCTCAAGGCGAATCGAGCTTTGGACCTTTGATTCTGGGGTTGCCCTGGGCCTCCCTAGGGCTCCCTAGGCCACCCCCATTCACCCCCCCTCTTGCATCCCCCCCCCCTTAAGAACCTCATAATTTGACGTTCCTTTTTTCCGGGCAACTGAGTTTGAGAAACCGCGACTTGCGTCTGGAGAACGTGATCCATCCCGTTAGCATCCAACTATGACTTGGAAAGGGCCATGCATGACTTTATTTTGCGGATATACAAAATCCAGCGCCAGTTGGTATGTGAGCTTATCTCATTGGGTTTTATCCATCCCAGCGGGCGCGAAGTGGATTCTCTCCATCGACAGGGCAAGGGAGTCGAAACTGAAGATCTCCCATAGTTGCCATATTTTGTTGGGAGGTCCCCCTTACCCCCCCCCGTTCAGAACAGGTTCACCCATTTCAAGAAGTTTCTACGAACCTCTCCTGGAGGGTGGGCTTGGTTTTTGTTCGCGTTGTAGTGGAGTCTACTGCCTTCGTTTGTTTCGGAAACGCATTCACCATTACTTGTTGAAGTGGGAATTTGAACGACTGTTTCTTTTGTTTCAACTGGGAAGGTACCCTCAGAGTACCTCACGACCGCCCAGCACAGCCACCAATTTGGGGTTGCAACAAGCAACCTCCTTTTATAAGGATTTTTGAACACTCGGCACCTGGCATTTTCAACTGAAGGCTCCTGAATTTTGGCAGGTCTTGGTGTTGCTGTAATTTGGGCCAATTTTGTTCCGGTGGAATCTCCGCTCTTGGCCGTGGTTCTGGCTGTTTCAGCAGAACCGCCGACGCCGAAGTCGCAAAAAACAACTCCGCCAGGAACCACGTGCTCTCCTTTTCAGGCCAGGCCTTGGGACGACCGCATGTGGTCAAGCACATGGGCAACGCAGGTTTTTTTCCGTGTTTGTTTTTTGATAGTAGGGCTAGGTCCCCCAGTAGTGCCCTTTTACCCTTGGTTGGGGGAGGGTTTCCCCATTAATTGACTACAGAAAAAATGGTACCCTTATTGGAGGACCTAGAAGGGGGTTGGGGCCCCTCCAAAAGTGGTCTGAATTCCCACTAAACCCAGGGGGCAGCACCCCCGTGAATAAACTGGTTGCTTGATGAGAAAAAATGGGGTCAACATGATCTGCTTTTCCGCGAAAAGCTGCTGCAGAGGTGTTTTTGTTTCATCTTTCTATATTCTTGGGGTTTTCATGTTGGTCTTGCTGAAAAAAAGGAACAACTTAAAAGCATCGCCGGGTACCCTCGAAAAACAGACACCATCCAACCAAACCAAAAAGGGGTTCGATCCCAAGGCATTTTTGGGGGTTTGGCTTGATCCAAGGCATTGGTGGCTTGTCTTTTAATGTAGACCCTGAAGAATAGTTCAGTTTTTTGCTGGAGGTGGTCCTTTTCTGTGGTCTCCAGATGTGGGCCAACTTTAAACTTTTTTTCATTGATCAGGATACTGCCACACAGGTTTGTATTTTGTGAGGGTTCCCTTTTTGGGGTTGGTTGAGAGCTGCAACTGGAAAACTCGCCATTTGCAGCACTGCTAGCCAGAAATTGTGAAGTTGCGGAAGTGGGAGTTCCATACCTGCAAAAAGTGGGATGTGCTCCCCCGACCAACATGGAACGGTTCCCTTCCTGTCTGGTTCCCATGTTGGAAGGGTAATTCAGGGGGCTTCCTTCCCCATTCCCCATTTGGTTGATTACTCGTCGCAAAAGAATGTCGCTTCAGGATTCAGGCGGATAGAGCTCGCTTCCACATAATGTTGATCCCATATCAATCAACCCCAGTTTATGAATAGGGGGGGTGGTTGTTGGCCCCTCCAAAAGCGATGATTCCCCATCAAAAACTGGGGTTGATTAAGAGAGGGTCACCATTTGTGCACATTCCTTCTTCAACCTGGATGTCTTCCAGGAGCGATGCCCATTGTGGCAGATGTTTCGTTCAACATGGTGGCCCCTTTTGGGGCTGGGATGTACCGTGTTTTGCTTTTGTAGAGTTACCCAACTTCTCAAAGGACGCTTCCCCTTTAGGTTCGTAACCCGGGTGATTCTTGGGCTGGAACAAGTCACCTGAGTCTCAATTTGGCTCATCCACTTGAACCGAGTGCCGATAGCATGAAATGGGCCCCTTCTTTGGCCTTTTGGTTGGTAGAAAGAGAAATCAAAGGGAACACCGGCATTTTGGGATTTGGACAGCCCGGCTTAGAGTCAGCAGTTTTTTGGAGGTTCGGGTGGGTTTCAAACACGGAAAAACATGCCACCAGCTTGGTGGTCCAAGTCCCCGAAATTTGGACGAGCAATGTCGAGTCGGCATGCTTTTTTAGTGTGTCACATGGGTATGTGTTGAACAAGGAGGATCTGTGTTTCAGGAGCTTAAGAGAGTCCATTGCTTTGTGACTTTGTGCCTGCAACTGTGGATGTACCATGGTTGCTTGTAGATGAGGAAAACGATTGGCAAGGGACCAGGAAACCGATTAGCCAGCATTCGGGTTTTGGCTCGTCCCTTTGAACCAACACTAAGCCCAGTTGTCCAGTGGCGCTTTCTTGTTTTTCTTCCTATCTTTTTTGGGAAGAAAATCCCTTTACGACTCCAGCCCAAGGAAGGATGCCCTTTTTTCCCCATGGACATCCACTGGGCAGAGCGCCAGTGGCTTCCCACGTTCTTCGCCGCGAAGGTGAGGTCTCCGAGAAGCCGAAGGCACGTGCCGGATCACGTGATGTTGGCTTCCCTGGAATCGTTGGAATCCCTAGGGTTGCGTTTCTTGGGGTTTTCTAGGGTTCCTTAGGGTTCCCTAGGATTCCTTAGGGGTTTTCTAGGGTTCCTTAGCAGGTTCCTGGAATGCCCCATGGAATGTTGAACTCCCGAAAGGGTGAGAAGGGGTCCCTCAGCGTTTCCTCAAACTGGGATTCGACCAAACTTGCACTCCCTTTGGGCTCTACTTGGTGTTCTGGTTTGGTGATTTAAGCGGCTTGGAGGTTAGAGGGGTTAGCTTCCAGTTTGGTTTCGAGAGAGCCCAAATTCGGCGGGATAACTCAAGCGCAACTCGTTCAGGCGCAGGGCTCGAGGGCCCCCAGCAAAGCGGCGCAGGACGGATGGAACGGATTCGGGGCGGGCGGGCTGTTCTGTTCGGCTGGGGAACTATGGCTGGTCTTCGGTCTGGATGGCCCTCAGGTCTTTTGGAATCTTTCGGTTACAATTTCAGTGATCCGATCAATAGCAATGGGTACTCACACTGGGTGTCGCAGAGGCGCTCTCGGCTTTTTTGTCTTTGGAAGGTGCTATGTGATTCCGTTGCAATGCTCTGGTCTGATCTTGCTGCTGGGCCGCAGAATCCTCAGGTGCTAAAGCTGAATAAAGTCTTCCCTGTGAGCTGAACATATGGGAACCCAAAACGGTGATTTTCCTTTCGGATTCCCCTTGAAACCATCTCAAAAAGGTACCCTTACAAAATCACACTCACACATGATATGTTAATTTGTCATTGTTTGTTTGTTTGACCTGAAATCATGTGGCGCCACGCTACGTCCTTGGAAAATCGCGCGTGTACTATGCGGTGGCTCACTGCAATATGCTGCCAGCTCTGTCAATAGATCCGTCACAGTCAGCAAGCACGTATACCTTTGGCGCTTCCATTGGGTTCAATCTATCATTGGGTTTGAACCTATGATTGAGAGGTATGGATCAAACGCCCCAGCATCCTCCCGCTTGAAAAACCATCACAACAGGTCCATGAACAAGAAGAGATACCGCTAAGGCCGCCTTGATACATGGAGACTTTGATTGTTGAGACCTTCCTGGCAGAATCAAAACCCATCAAAGGCCATGCAACCCAGCTCTGGCCCGTTTCAACGTGCTCAAGCCGAGTTTTTGGTAGGGACCTGAGTATGCGAGTTGTCAAAGGTAGGGGTGCCGACTTTTAAGGGAGACCTACATGGAGAGGGTAACCACATACTCCCTCCCTGCCATACACAAAAGCAACCACCTACCTCCTACCCCCTATCTTAAAATCTCCCTAGGCTAGACTTGGTTGATGCCCAAGATGAGAGCAACTCGGCAGGCGGACTCGCGGGCTCCCAGCAAAGCGACGCAGGATGGAGGGTTCGCGCTTTTGGGACGCCGGGCGGGGTGAGCTGAACCCAAAACGATGCCAAGTGTTTTTTTGTTTTAGGGTTTGCTTTCTAGGGCATCCCACAAATTGTTGCGTCCTAGTTCTGAAGTGGTCACTCAAGGTCCAGACATTCCCTTGATACGTGTTTCGGAGGGACTTGAAGGGTGCACAAGTGGTTACTTGGTGCATCGTGACGAAGGTACCGGGCTAAGCTAAGCCCACTATGGAGGTCCCCCGAGAGGAGTCAAACCACATCTTAGGGTACTGGGTACTGGCGGAACACTCAAGCAGGTGGTTGATGGCAAGCCTTGCTTTCCGACGTTGACCTGCGGCCAATGAATGCTTCCGCCCAGGTCATGTACATAGTGTGTGGAAGGCGGGGCGACCTCTCAGCACCGAGCTTCCTGATGATGGCAGTCATAGGATTCAATTTATATCCCATACGTATTCCATGGCGGGTGCAAGGTTCTTTGTTTGGTGGGTGTCCTCTACGCCCTACAGATCCAAGTTCACAATCAGCACAATCACAACGTTGGCAGACTCAAAGCATGCATGACCCCTAATATTTGACCTCTCTTTTCTGGGGAGCCGGTTTCCTCTCTGTGGAAAGCCGTAGTTTGACGCACTTGGGCAGTCCGGTTGTTTGGCTTGGCATCGGGCATCCCAGAATGTTGCCTTGCGCAGGAGATGTACATCCAGTTCCGACCTCAGCGGATGCACCACCAAACATCGAACCTGTTGGTAGGCAACCAGCACATGTAGCATATACATTTGGTGGAAGGCAGGGCTGGTCGCGATGAAGAATACATTTTGCTCAATCAACTTGATAGCACCGAGCTGAGCCTGTTGTTTATTGTTTTTGCTAGGCGCTATCTAGCAAGCAACGATTGCTTTCCCCAAAAGAAACAAACAACAGGGGCCTGGATATCAGACCCCCCTCCCATGTAGTACCCAGTTTTGATTACATTGTCTGGGTTTTGTTTCTGTTGTTTGGGCTTGCGCTGTCTCTGTCCATGCTTGTTGCTTCTCCCCGACCCCGAAGACGTCGCTCAAGGCGCTCCGAACCGCTCCATAGCCTAGCATAGACTCTAAACCTGGCCTCACTTGCCCAAAGTGAGTCGACCCTTTGACCTCTTGGCTTGCCTGTTTTGGTCCATTCGTCCTTTGGCAAAAGGTGAAGCTTGTACTTCCAGGTCCGACGCGCCCGACAGGGAGCCCTTGAGAAATTTATTCTTGGGGCGGAAGGAATAAATGAAGGGTTTTCTAAGCCCTAAACCAGGCTGGTAGGTGTCCATTTTGCATGGCCATAGCAGGCGTGTTACATTGTGGTTCTTTTATGACCCACTGTTTCCAGAGCTTTGTCAGGAATTTCGAATGAACTCGGCCAAGGCGGTCACATAGGTTTTTACCCACTACAGAGAGTAATTGCTGCGCAGGGGAGGAAGTTGACGACTTCAGGGAACGCCCAAGTTGTATAACACGGTCATGAGTGGGAAGAGGTTTGGTGCCTTACAATGCTTATTGCGGACGTGCTGTGGAACGCACCAAGCAGGTATAGAAAGCTTACCACATGACTGGCCCCCTTCACCCAGTGCTTTGATCAAAGCCTGAAAGAAGTTATCATGGGAGCGGTTAAGGAACCTTTGGTTGACGAGTCGGGGGTTGTTCCATGTCTTTCATGTTGCAGGAACCACTTGTTTATGACTGCGACGGGTTCCCAAGCGCCAAGTTGCCAAAGGTACGAGCAGGAGATGAACTGGGAAGGCGCGGCTCGTGCCAGTCGTTTTTAAGCGAAACCAGCCGTTTTGGCGATAGGCGATACTAGTACTGAGCTGGGGAGCTGAGTGCCAGGAGGAAACTCAATAAGAATCATTGGCCTCCAGGCGGCGACAAGGATGAGCCCTGAAGAAGGCCTTGGTAAACTGGCTAATAGGTGATAGCCGCCCTTCTCCATAGCCCCCCCCCCTCCCCGGTAGGACTTTCTGCACAAAGAACAACCAGTTTAAAGTTTGGGCAAGTAGAGAGTTGTTGGCAGCCTGAAAGTGTGATTTGCCACAACCATCGCCACGGTCGAGCCACACATTTCCGCTTTCGGAGTCACCGGAATCTGGCGTCATAGTGGCGACTGCACATTTTGCTTGTTGCAGCTGCAAGCGGAGGTTTGGCATTCTTGTCCGGGTGTCCTTCTGCGGTGCTCCGTGTTGTCTGCTGCCATAAACTAATCGCCCGACTCTGGCGACACCTATGCACGGGAAATATTGGTCAGACCACGCAATTACTGTTGTTGGCGTTTGAGCCTCATAAACCCAAGTTGCCAGGTTTCAGCTGATCCATATTAGAAGTTTCCCCGATGGATTTGGGACGACGTCTTCTCGGGACAGGCTTTGTCGCCGTCCACAACCACTGGTGGAACCACACTTCTATTGCTGCCTTCGATGAGTGGTCGGAATCAAATAGCTGTTGCTACACCCTAACGACTGTCTTTCCGTATAGACCCCTTTCAGGCAAATATGTTGCTGTAAGGGTCTATACCACCCCCTCAGACATGAGCCTTTAGGATACAGCGCGACCTGCGGGCCCCGCCCCTTGAAAGGGGCCGGAAGGTGAAATTTGGGCGTCCAAGAAAGCAGCACTTGCCCTCTCATGGTCAGATGATCCTACCGTAGGGCCTATGGAGCTTTCTTAAGCCGCTCTTGAAGGCCTCTGGGCACCACCGAAGTTTACAAATTGTGTGACTTTCTTAGAAGCCCAAGGGGTAGAACCCCATGACTTCAGAAACGCCCTAGTTTGTTTGAGATGGAGTGTTTTTTTCCTGCAACCTTTTGGGTCTGTCTTAAAATGCTTAACCTCCAAAATTGTAAGTTTGCTTTTTGCTTGTCCTTTCCACCCACCTCGAAATTGGGGTGTTCGGATTTCCCAACAAACGGATTGGTGCTACTCGGACCAATGTTGACGAGGCTGCTCTTTGAGCTCGCCCTAGAGTTGGTGACGACCAAGTCCTGGGCCCTCAAAACAACAAAGTTGGAGGACAGAAAATAAAACTGGGACCCAGGAACATGATATAAAACAAGCAAACATGGTGCGCTTGGCCTTAGCCAAGCTTTCGAGCTGCGACGGCACTTAGGCGTTTCATATCGCAACCATGTCGTCGACTTTGATTTGGGACCTGGCCATGGGGCATAACCTAGGGCTCCATTATGGGGTGGATGAACATGCATTTGCCACCTATTTTGATGTTCACCAGGGATACAGGGTTTTGACCCACAGCCACCTTGATTGGCTTCCCGGAAAGCGTTCGAATTGTCACTCCGGAGGAATTACCGCGTATTGATTGAGGAGTGTGCCCCCAAAAAGTGAGTAGCTTTTACACAAATTCGAGACTCCTCATTCACAAGCCCCTCAAGGTAAAGCATCCAACAAAAGACACTCGCATGGGAGTTTGTGTTTTTTGTAGAGTAGCCTTGTAGATTGGTTTAAAATGGACACCGACAGGAAGCCAAACTTTGTCTTAGGCCTCGCTTGAATCACCTTGTTTCCAGCGTTCGTTCCTCCCGTCAACCCGATAGGCCTCAGCTCCTTCGAGCAGCTACTGCTGCTGAAGGCGCGGCCGAAGTTGAAGCGCCCGAAACCGACTGCTGCTAAAAGGAGCGTGGATGGGGCATATGGCTCCATTTTGGGGTGGATGAACATCCATTTGCCACCTATTTTGATGTTCACCAGGGGTTTCCTGGGTCTCTTCTGAGAAAAACAAGTTGGTTCTCCCACGAATTTTGTGAAACTGAGCGAGCCCCATTTGACCCAAGCTGACAAACATGAAGTTGCGCGGAGTCCTCTGTTCTGAGGTGGCTTCCACCCAGCAACCGCCCCCCAACCCAATTCGCTACAAAGAAGAACGAGCATATTCCCTTCGTGTGGCTATGTACTGGCTGTGCATGTGTGTGTGTGTGTGTCTCTTTTTAGGGATCATGGGTTTCGTGGTGGTTTTCCAACCGATCAGGGGACCCCCAAGAAAGAGACACACCCACATGGCCTGCACAACCATGGCGGGTCTTTGGAAACAAACGGCTTTCCCATCAAGCCTGCAAAAGTGATTGACCTTCTGCTCGGGGCTGAACCAACCCTGCAAGAAAGGTAATTAGAACATGAATCAACTGCGTTTTGAGCCCATGTTGTGGGGGAAGCTCATGGAACGGCTCGAGTTGTCGGACTAAAGTTGACTAAAGTTGTTTGGGCAACTCCCGCCAAACCATCAGGTTGACACTAATGAAGACGAATTTCAAAGAGATTCGCCGGTGGAAGCTCGCCTCAAGGGTCCTCGTTTTGGTCACTCATGACCAATATCTTGTAGTCAATGGATAGCTTTTGGCGACCCACACACCACTATCCGAAAGGGCAGCATGGGGCTTACAACCATTTTGCAGCCACTAGACAACTACAGCTGGAATTTGTTCTTCATTGTCCCTTGAGGGCAGTGGGAACCTCCAAAGTGGCTTGTTCAGCTGGTGTAAATCAACAATGATACTCACAAATTCAGACGCCCAACTAAAAAAAGAGCAAAGAACAACAACGCACATGCACACCGCACCATACACACAGACTAGAACATGCAACGCCACCCCCCCATGCCAAGCACCACACGCCACAAGCATGAGTTTAACAACCTGCCAACCAAGCCATGCCGAAAACAACATATGGGCTGTGTTTTTTTTTTTTTTTTTTTCGGTGAAGGTACCCGGTTTTGCCTGTTTGTCAGGAATTTCAAAGCAACATCAAAGCGAGTCCCTAAACAAAGTCACACTTTGGTTCGAAACTGATGGGTGTCCCTGGTGAATGAGGCATCCCACAGGCCCAGGAATCGGATGGTTGGATTCGGAGGTCCTGCAGCCGGATTTTGCTGTGCACGCCGTGAGAGGCTTTGTGGCAGAGGAGCGAATGGCTTCCCTCGCGAAAGGGTCTTGTCTTTTGGCTTGTGCTTGTTGGTTGTTTGTTTGCGGTGTTTGTTTGTTTGTGTGTGTGTTGGTTGATGGGAGGGTTACTTGGTTGGTTGTTTGTTTGCGTTGTTGGTTTGGTTGGTTGTTTGGTAGTTTGGTTGTTTGGTTGCTTGGTTGCTTGTTTGTGTGTTTGTGTGTTTGTGTGTTTGTTTGTTTGTTTGTTTGTTTGTTTGTTTGTTTGTTTGCTTGTTTGTTTGTTTGTTTGTTTGTTTGTGTGTTTGGTTGTTAGTTTGGGTTGTGTGTTTGTTTGTTTGTTTGTTTGTTTGTTTGTTTGTTTGTTTGTTTGTTTGTTTGTTTGTTTGTTTGTGTGTGTGTTTGTGTGTTTGTGTGTTTGTTTATGTGATTGTTTGTTTGTTTGTTTGTTTGTTTGTTTGTTTGTTTGTTTGTTTGTTTGATTGTTTTGATTGTTTTGTTTGTTTGTATGTTTGTTTGTTTGTTTGTTTGTTTGTTTGTTTGTTTGTTTGTTTGTGTGATTGTTTGTTTGTTTGTTTGTTTGTTTGTTTGTTTGTTTGTTTGTTTGTTTGTTTGTTTGTTTGTTTGTTTATGTGCTTCTTTGTTTGCGCTGGTTTGTTGGTTGCCAGGTTGCTTGCTTGGATAGTTATTGCTTTTATTTATTCACGTTTTGTTTGGTTGCTGTTGTTTGTTTGTGTTTATTGGTCTGTTTGCGATTTGTGTTTGTTGATTCGGTTGTTTCTTTCTTTGTGATTTTTTGTTAGTTGTTGGCGGGTTGCTTGTTTGTTTTGGTTGCCATTTGTTTGTTTGGTGTTGTTGCTTTTGTTTGCGTTTGTGTTTTTTTGTTGTCTGTGTGTGTGTGTTTTTAGTTATTTGTGTGTTTGCGGGTTTGTTTTGCTTGTTTCTCTTGGTCTGGTTGCGTTTAACAGCTTGCTTGTTTGTTTGTTTGTTGTGTATTCTGTATGTTGTTGTTTGTTCCGTTTGCATTGCCGTGTTTTGTTTGTGCTATGCTGCTTTTCTTGTTTTGCCTCTTGTTGGGTGTTGTGCTGTGCGTTGGTTGTGTTCTTCTGGTTCTTTGGGCCTTTCAAAGGTGTCCCAGTCCAAGCCTCTGGCTCCTGTCCCATCCCGGAACTCTTCTGCGTTACCGGTCATGACCATGGTGAAACAAAACTAGGGTGGTCAGCTCGATTCCATGGTTATACTTGGCGGTTCCTAGATATACCCTTAGACTAAGTGCTTTTGCATTTTAGTGGGAGTTATCACATACAACAGTGCAAATTGAACTTTTAGCGGTCAGTGAGTTGCCTGGTGGTCGAATACTCGAGTGCTCTCTTCCAAGCAGATAGTCAAATGAGACGAAGAGGTTGACCCCGCAGACGTCTCGCAATCAAGACCATACAAGGAACCTTAGGCCGGCCAAACGCTCTCGCTGACATTGCGCCTGACAGGTTTTGGCACCTTCGCGAGGAAATAGATCCCTTCAGGTACACTCCCACAGGCGCCTTGTCGCGAGTGGCAGGAAGTGTACTCACCGAACGTTTGTACTTTCAGCATTGCCAGACCTATTGGATTCACGAAATCCGTCTAACTACCAACACATATTGGCTTCCCATGGTTTCAAAGCGGTGCAGAATTTCCTTCCACAATAGCCCGGCGAACAAGGACTCACTTTTGTAGGGGGCTCTCCTCGCCAAGTCGACAGGAAGACTCCCACTGGGGCGACCCGGCAGGAGCTGGGTGAATCCGTGCTGGACATTCAGCCGCTCTTGGCGGACCAAGCTCGGAGGCTTAGAGCCTGGGGCCTCCAAACTGATTTCATATGTTCTTCATTCACTTTCAGTGGGCAATCAACTTGTTGTGAAAACCATTTTAGTCAGTGGTAAACAAAAGTTAGGAATTGTTTGGGCAGTCCACTCAGGAAGTGAGTTTTACCTGGTGCTACGGGAGCCATCTAGCTGTGGGTATTTGCATTCTTGTTTGAAGAGGGAACTAAGGAGACATGGACGTTTTAGGGCAGGCGAAATGTGTGTGTGTGTGTATTTTAGCGGACACAAATTGTGGTAGAACCTGCTTGTCCCAGCAGAACGGATTTCCCCCCTCCCAAAAGAAAAAAAGGCCGAGCGACACATATGAAACGGGAACATCAACATATATTTGGCGAGAGTTGCACAGGGCCCCCCCATTAGAAGAACATTATCACCCCCGAAGATGTGAATATTGGGACTTTTGGTCTTTAGGGGAGCCCCCAAACTGGCTTCGGTGTTCCGTTTGGCTTTCCTGAAAAGCCACATACAAAACAAGCGTACCCTCCAAACAAGACACATCCATATTCCTCCAGTAGACATATGTTTGTTTTTGGCAGGGCACACATCAAAGGGGGGAAGATATTACAACCTTCAACCCTTTGCTTGAAACATCGACTTGTTGAACATTACTCTGTCCTCGCCACTTGGCAAAACAAGTCGCAGAGAACCTTGGGGAATCTCCTAGGATTGATCCTTATGTTTTTCTGTTTCTTTGTGTTTTAAAGTTCCATGTTGAAGAGCGAACTATTTTTCCTGACCTTGTTTACAGTGATGTTTCAGTACTCTGTGTGGCTCTCGACCATGACAGATTCGGAGTTTTTACTATTTTCCTTTGACTATGGCACATCCGGTCCAGGGCTGCATAGATTTCCCCTTGAAAACATCATCTTTTTGGGGAGGTTGTAGGTGAGTTTCCTCTTGGGTGATGTTTGAAGGGGGAATTCAGGGAGTCCTACCTTTTGCCCCTTGGAGACAAAACTACCAACATAGGGGGTCCACATCTTTTTTACTGGAGCTGCGTCCTGCACTTATTGTTGCGCTTGGATGCGCAATAATGCCTTCTCCGGTCCAGCAAATGCTAGAAATCAGCGCGATTGTTGTTTGTGTATTCCTGAGTTTTGATCGAAGAGGCCTTCCTGGTCACTTGTGATAAGAACGGTCCAATATGATTTCCTTGTACCCCAGTTGCCTCAGTACCCCAGCCGTTGCTTCAACAGAAGTCACCATGCACCCCGTTAAGGAGCAATGCCCCTTTTCCAGAGGGTTCAGCCAGGCTTTGTGAATCAAAAAAAGATACCTTCCCACCAATCAACACACGGAACCGGAAGTAAAAAAATGGGGGGGGGGTGTAAGAGGGAAGAGTATGTATAATGTGCCGGGGAGAGGTCTGGGCATCAACATCACACTGAGGGCTGGCTTTCAGGCAGATCTTGTAGGAATTGATTGCATGAAAATTGCAAACCTTAGTCTGAGAAATTGGCTTCCAGTGGAATTTGGTAGGAATGAAATTGCGAATATTACAAATTAATTTGTAGAATTTGTTAAGTAAAGAACATATTCTCCAAAATTAAAAATTTTACAAATTCGAGTCTGAGAAATTAGCTTCCAGGGGAATTTGGTAGGAATTAAATTACAAATTTTACAAATTTTACAAATTAATTTGTAAAATTTGTAAAATATCAAAAACAATCCGGCCCAAAATTACAAATTATACAAATTAATTTGTAAAATGTGTAAAATATCAAAAAATCTGGCCCGAAATTACAAATTTTACAAATTTTACAAATTCGAGTCTGAGAAATTAGCCTCCAGGGGAATTTGGTAGGAATTAAATTACAAATTTTACAAATTTTACAAATCAATTTGTAAAATTTGTAAAATATCAAAAAAATCCGGCCCAAAATTACAAATTTTGCAAATTTTACAAATTAATTTGTAAAATTTGTAAAATATCAAAAAAATCTGGCCCAAAATTACAAATTTTACAAATTTTACAAATTCGAGTCTGAGAAATTAGCCTCCAGGGGAATTTGGTAGGAATTAAATTACAAATTTTACAAATTTTAAACATTTTACAAATTAATTTGCAAATTTTACAAATTAATTTGTAAAATTTGTAAAATATCAAAAAAATCCGGCCCAAAATTACAAATTTTACAAATTTTATAAATTAATTTGTAAAAATTTGTAAAATATCAAAAAAATCTGGCCCAAAATTACAAAATTTACAAATTCGAGTCTGAGAAATTAGCTTCCAGGGGAATTTGGTAGGAATTAAATTACAAATTTTACAAATTTTACAAATTTTACAAATTTTACAAATTAATTTGTAAAATTTGTAAAATCTCAAAAAAATCCGGCCCAAAATTACAAATTTTACAAATTTTACAAATTAATTTGTAAAATTTGTAAAACATAAAAAAAAATCTGACCCAAAAATACAAATTTTGCAAATTTTACAAATTAATTTGTAAAATTTGTAAAATTTGTAAAATTTGTAAAATTTGTAATTTAATTCCTACCAAATTCCCCTGGAAGCTAATTTCTCAGACTCGAATTTGTAAAATTTGTAAAATTTGTAATTTTGGGCCAGATTTTGTTGAAATTTTACAAATTTTACAAATTCGACTCTGAGAAATTAGCTTCCAGGGGAATTTGGTAGGAATTAAATTACAAATTTTACAAATTTTACAAATTTTACAAATTAATTTGTAAAATTTGTAAAATATCAAAAAATTCCGGCCCAAAATTACAAATTTTACAAATTAATTTGTAAAATTTGTATAATATCAAAAAAATCTGGCCCACAATTACAAATTTTTCAATTTTTATAAAAATTGTAAAATTTGTAAAATTTGTAATTTAATTCCTACCAAATTCCCCTGGAAGCTAATTTCTCAGACTCGAATTTGTAAAATTTGTAAAATTTGTAATTTTGGGCCAGATTTTTTTGATATTTTACAAATTTTACAAATTAATTTGTAAAATTTGTAAAATTTGTAATTTTGGGCCAGATTTTTTTGATATTTTACAAATTTTACAAATTAATTTGTAAAATTTGTAAAATTTGTAAAATTTGTAATTTAATTCCTACCAAATTCCCCTGGAAGCTAATTTCTCAGACTAGAATTTGTAAAATTTGTAATTTTGGGCCAGATTTTTTTGATATTTTACAAATTTTACAAATTAATTTGTAAAATTTGTAAAATTTGTAAAATTTGTAATTTTGGGCCAGATTTTTTTGATATTTTACAAATTTTACAAATTAATTTGTAAAATTTGTAAAATTTGTAAAATTTGTAAAATTTGTAATTTAATTCCCACTAAATTCCCCTGGAAGCTAATTTCTCAGACTATAATTTGTAAAATTTGTAATCTTGGGCCAGACTTTTTTGATATTTTACAAATTTTACAAATTAATTTGTATCATTTGTAAAATTTGTAAAATTTGTAATTTAATTCCTACCAAATTCCCCTGGAAGCTAATTTCTCAGACTAGAATTTGTAAAATTTGTAAAATTTGTAATTTTGGGCAATATTGTTTGATGTTTTACAAATTTTACAAATTAATTTGTAAAATTTGCAAAAATTGTAATTTTGGGCCAGGTTTTTTTATATTTCACAAATTTTGCAAATTCATTTGTAAAATCTGGAAATTTCACTTTTTACACATGTACTTGCGACATTTTGTGAAATGCTTAATTGTTAACCATATTTGTTGGAATTTGGCATAGTTCAGAAACTAATCTGCAAAATGTGTATAACTTGTAATGTAACTCCAGCCAAATCTCCCCGGAAAGCAAATTCCCCAGAGTACGTTTCAATGTCAGCAAACATCCGATTTAGAATTACAAGCTGGATTTGAACAAACATTGCTCGGGGGTTGCAAATTGCACAAGCTAGTTTGTAAAAAGTCGGTCCAGAATTACACAAATTACAAGTAAAGGTGTGAACATTGTAAACTTGATAAAACTTGATCACCGTCCTTCCCTTAACGGCTTTTTTTGGGTCAAGTTTGTTTCATTTTGAATCGGTTGAAGTTTGGTAAGGAAATGGGGAGGAAAGCATATTATCTTTTCATTTGGAATCTCTCTTTTCTGTTATTTCCATGTGTTTGTTTTTCTTTAGGATCTCGAATTCATACTCCTTTCTTTATCTTTCACTCTCTCCCCTGACCCTTTCTTCCTACAATCAACTCAATAAACTAGGATGGAAAAGACAGGGATAAAGAAATAAACATAAGATAGGTAAAGGAGAGAGGACATCTTCTGCAACACGCTTCTTTTGGATAACTTTCATACCACACATACCTGATGGAGAAAGAGATGGAGAAAACCGTAAAAATAGAAAGACATGGAAAGGCGACTGGGATTGTGGGATGGATTCATTTGTATCTCAGAGATTTTATCGCATACCAGGTTAGACCAATCGATGAAGGTAAGGGAAAGGGAAAGGTGTGAAAGAACAAAGAATGATTAAGAAAATATTCCGCCCAGACATCACGCAGAATACACCAGATAGCCTGTCCGTGAGACTTGGAGGATATGATGATTGGAGATTCCCTCACTATCCCTTTCCAGTTTGTCTTTGGGGCCTCTTCCAAATCATTGCCTGCTTCCTCTTGTCCATCCATCCTCATCCTTTATTTGCATTTATGGATGGGCAAGAAGTGACGAAAGCATTTGCAGGCAATAATAATTACGGTAGAAAACGTAATATCCTCCCTTTCTTTTCAAAATCCTGTTTTATACAAGCTAACAACATAAAAAGGGCGCGAGACAGTTATGACAAAGCTAAAGAGAATTATGGGTGGTGCTTACAGAAGCTATCTAATTTATTGCGTGCTAATACATGCTTCTAATCTTAAAACCATACTTACATTCCTCGTTCTTTTCTATTTTATTCTTCCCTTGTTGAGATTCATTGCGCTATCTTTCTTTGTGAATGCTTTTGGCTGTCCGGTCGTCGCTGGGGCTCACCGAAAGGAAAAAAGATTATGAGTAGGTCTTACTCATATTATTTTGCTTGTGTTTTACTATCTTTTGGACCTTTCATCCTTCCCCTTCTTCTGTTTCCCTTTTCAACCGTTGAAGAATGCCAGAAATCGAGGGGTGAAGGAAGGAGGGAGAAGCTAGCCCCCCCGTTCCTTCTTCTCCAACTGTATCGCTAGTGGGGAGAAGATAGGAAGGAGATCAACCGTTCCATCTTTACCTTTCCCTTCCCCACTACGTTCTGGAGTTCTGTGACTACGAAAGACTCACGATGGAACAGTCTAAAAGTGGGACGAAGGAAGGGGATATTGGCTTTATTTTGGGTTTATTTGTAGAAAAAGAAAGCCACTTTCCACAACCCGCTTCTTTCTGTAAAAAAACAGATGGAAGAAGATGACCTTTCCTTTCCCGGCCCAGCCAACGCTTGTCATTTTCCTTGCCTTGTCTTTTACATTGCCATGTTTTGGAAATGAAGAAGTAAAGCGTCTGGCAAGGAGGTAAGCGCCCATCAATACTAATTGAAGATACCGAATTGGATGGGCACTTACCATGTCTTTCCATCACTTCTTTCTTTCCTTTTGATGAAATTGAAGATTGAAAATGGGAAGTGAGAAGCCTCTCTTGACTTCTTCCTCAAGCACAGGCTGCTGTTAATCTTATGCCGTGTGATCCTTGGGAAGAAGAAGAAGAAGAAGAGAAGATAGGAGAGGGTGAACAGAAGTAACGTGATTCTTTCTTTTTTTCCGATCGCATCCTGATTTTCCCATGTATGTCACCCACCAAAATCTTCAACCCATAAAGATTTGACTACAGAATCCTTAAAACCTTTTTAAAAGCAAATGCTAGCGGTCTCTCTCTTTTGCTAATAATCTTCTGGAAATGAAAGGACAATAATAGAGTTTTAGATCATAGGATGGTGTAAGGACTGGGTTCTTCTCATCGTTGACGTCCTTCCTTGTCCAAGTCACGGAGGAAGAGAGGTTGGTTTGTGGTCCCAAGAGCTTGTATCCTTCCCTTTCTATCTCTTCCACTTCATCCAGGAAACATTTGTGGATGGACATGTCGTTATTAAGATCATTGCCTTTCGGTTTACCATCCCATTTATTGCTTGAATGTCTATCTTTGTTGTCTTCCATTTACAATATTATCTGAGAAGTCTAGAAATGCTTCTGGGTGTGAGGTTGAAAAAATTGGCGATGTAAAGAAAATCACGATGGTTGGAACAGAAAGTTAATCATTACCAAGAATAGGTTCATAGTCTCTCATCTGCTGGTTGCATTCTCATGTACTTGTTCACTTTGCAACCTTTCTACTTGTTTATCTATCTTCCCAATCTCTCTTTCTCTCTCTCGCATTGTAAACGTTGGAGGCATCTGGATGGGGGAAAAAACCCGGGGGGTAATAACAAATATGAAGAAGAGGAACTGGCTAACACTCCTTCTGCTCTCCCGTCTTTCGCGGCTGTCAGGATTAGTAAGAATTACGAAAAAGGCCTATGAAGAAACATAATAGATACATAAATAAATAAATCAATAGGCAAATGACAGAACCAAGAACATGAAAGTAATAAAGAATGTTAATAAATGAAACGGTCTATTGGGAGACAAATTATTCTTGTCCATCAAGAACCCTCTCCAACACAGTGAAAAACCTAGAGTGGACAATGATGGATATGATAGAAAACGCAATAAGATAATAAAACGCAGTAAGCTATGAGATTACAACGATTCTGTAATTATTGCCTTTAAATTCACCCCGTGACCACTTCATCCCATTTACACAAATATATTGGAGAAGATATTAGTGCATGATGAAGAATAAACACAAATTATAACCATAGATAGTTTGCTTGACTCTGAAGAGGCTGTTGGTCTTTACTCATGGAGTTTATTTAGTTGTATCTTCTTTCTGCTTTTGTTCTATTAGAATTTCCTTGCAAAATCTCTCACTCACTTCCTATTGTATCATTAGATATGTGCAATATTCTTGAGTTTTAGGTGAGAATGAAAAGGATATTAATAGTTCAAGTTGCTGGAGAAGGACGGAACACTATTTACGAAAGGCTATTTATTTACTAGAATCTCATGAGTAATGTTAACTAATTTGTATCGATTGGGGTTTATTTCTCACCTTCTCTTTTTAAGGGGTTTCCTTTTGCCTCCCTTCATCGCTAGAAGTGACCGAAGGAAGTTAATAGTTTTCTCATCAGAATATTGCCTGTCCAAATAGAGTGATGAATGAAGAGACGCTTAACTGTTATTATTGCTTAAGTGACGTCTCACGGACAGGCTAGGTCTCCAGACCCTTTTTATATCTCTCTGATTGTTCTTTCCTTTTATGTTTATTTGACCAGCATTTGTTTACTATTTACTTCTTCCTCACTGACATTCGATCTTCTCTAACTCTGTTATCTGTTACTGTGGCTTTAATCATTTGATTAACATTTTCCTCTTTCCATTTCCATGCTCTATCTTGGTGAGCTAGCAAACGTTTAATTTAGAAAAAATATGGAAGTGATAGATAGGAGGACATCATTGTTTGTTTCTGTTAATACTACTTCACGAAGGTATACCGTGTGCTTTTATCACACTCTCTCACAACCAAAGAGAGGATGCTCATCTGGTCTTCATCACCCCTCACCCTTTTTTCTATTACTACAAACTAGCTGGTTCTTTCAGGGTGGGGCATGCCAAGACATTCCTTTCTACTCTTGGGATTGCACCAAAAGCAACAATGAGCCGTTCTGCTCTTGAAGGCGCGCGGCGGCACATTGTACGTAATCTTCCCTGCCACGGGGGGGGGGTCCTTGGTTTCATTTTCCTTTTAGGACCATTTCCCTGTCACATCAGGCTCCATGTGTTAATTGGTAAGAGGGTAATATAAAAATGAAAACAACCAGCGCGCGATCTCAAGCAGTGGTGAGCCAGGGGGAGAATTACGGCGTCCCGAGCTTCTCGTTCTCCAAAGTGAAGGAGTTGTCCCGACTCGGACCTTCGATCCGCGAGAGAACTCTCTCGATCTTGTGCGGCCTCTCCAACAACACGATGCCAAGTCAGAAGAGCACGGGAGAATTGACGTTGCGGTACTTCGCATACAGATGGGGGCGCTGCTGCTGATGAACGAGCAGCTTATTCAGCGATGGTCGCCAGTATTTGACCAGGAGTGTGGCGCTCAAGACGCTTGGTGTCATTGATCCAGATTCCAGATGCTTGCCGCTGTGGAGTCCGTACTTCTAACTGCTTGTGGGGAGAGTACCATTTTGGTGATGGGGCAGGCAAGTTGGGTGCTGCTTAATAAAGAAGCACTTTTCACATCCAGTTCAATTCCAATTTTTACTAAATACTTGTTTGGTACGGTGCATATTGTGTTTGGCTTCTTTAAAAAAGGTATTGTTGAATTGATTACCTTGGAGTATGTTTAATACATGCAGGGACTTTTCGGCTTTTTAGTGGTATTGTTGGATTAAGTTTGAGGAGTTTGAGGTGTTTGAAGCAAACAACGCTTTTCTTGAATTCAGGGGACGCCAATAACGGGTTGAACAACTCCTTGCTGGCCCTTCTCCGCTCAAGTCGAGTCCCTTAAATCGGAAATCTGAGGCGGTAGAGGAGCTTCAGGAGTTCCAGGGCCAGACGCGGCCCTTGCTACTGGCGCCTCGGGCTGGGGGGGGGGATTTCACGTCCAATTGCTTGAGAATATGATTTTGTTGACAGGTTGGAACCACCTAATGTTCACCCCCTATCAGCCCAGGATTGGTGATTTGGGATTTGAACGGGTCGCTGGCTTTTGTAGAGGGTAATGTTGACCCCGCTACTGTGGATGGACGAAATCCCGCACCACCTGAGAAACATTGGAATGATGATTTCCCTGCAAATACCAACCTATAATGGTTTCCCATGGTTTCAAAGTGGTGCAAGATTTTGTTAATCCACAGTATGAATCAACCAACCAGCTTTTTTGTTTATAGGGGGGGGTTCTTCTCCCTGGGTGAAATGTGGGGCAGGATTTGAGCGGGTCCCTGGCTTCTGTAGAGGGTAATGCTGACCGCCTCTGAATCAACCAACCAGTTGTTTTTGATAGGGGGGATGCTTCTCCCTGGGTGAAATGTGGGGAATCAGATCACTTTTGGATCGGAACATGTTCTCTTTTCCCTTTGTTGGTTTCAAAGGACATCCATCACTTTTTTCCTGTTGGAATAAAAAGGCAATTTACCACTACCATTTCCTTAAGATATGGTCTCTTTCTCACTTCAAGGCGTACTGAACTTTAAGTTTTTTGGGAAGGGACTAGTTTAGTGAGGTTTGGACTTGTTTTGACCAATCCACTCAGGAAGTGAGTGTTCTTTATTGGTTTTAAAGGGAACCCTAGTACTAGTGGACATGCTTTTCATTTTTTCCAGGGCACTTAGGCAAATACAAGCTTCGGGCGCGACATATTGACAGTTTGCTATACAACTCACGTTCGCCCGAAGTGAATCGTGCTGGACTGACCTTTTGATTTCCCAACTGTTGGTCCATTTTTTGTCATGGCCCCAAAAGGTTATTCCAGGTCCTTTGGGCAAGTGAGACGACTATGTATCGCTAAGGGTCTCTTGGTATGTACTTTAAGCCCTTTCGAACCCTCCAACAGGCATCCTTAGCAGGTACTTGGACGCTCTGCGTAAGTGGGACTGCCGCATCGGATTGCCCACTTCGGAGGGTATAGTGCATTGTGGTGCACCTTTTCTTAATCTGTGACGAAAACCGGCAACTGGTCATGAACGGTATCACATCATCTTGGCTGTATAGCTTGCTGGTGCTCAGAAGGGAATGAGGGAATGAGCCCGACAAACCATTTCTGGTGGTTTCCTTTAAGGGAATACCTGGGTTCATTCCCACATGCCCTGCTACTGTTTGTACTGGCTTGCCTCGTTGCCTGGAATTGGGGCACCAAAAGGTGTGCTCCAACGTCTAAGATAACGCAACGGAGTTTTCACGTGTTTCGGGTTTAGGTTTTTGGGTTCTGTTCATTGTTGGGGGGCTGCAAAAGTCAAGGTGGCTTGCTACCATACCTATAGGTTTGACAAAGTAAATTAGTAATTAGTGCAAAGTGTAGCTTCGGGTTCTACGTCCGGGTCGCTATGAGAGGTTGACCTTGGCCGTCAGGTGCTTCCATCCGCGTCAGGCGGGAGTGACAGAAGGCTTTCGGTTTCGCATGTTTTCGTGAGATCTAGGGTTGCGTGTGTGTTGCCCGCTGCGACATCACAGAATTGAGGTGCTACCTTTGTCTTCCAAGGACCCTTCTTGATTTTGCTCTTGGTTTCAAATGGAGCATCAGCCAAAGGTTTGCCTTTTCAGGGTACTGGAAGATCAAGGCTAGTGTTGTTTCTAGAATTTCTCTCCGACATGGGAAGCTGAAAATATGTTTGGGGGAGGGGGAGTGGCCCCTTGTCGATATTAGTGGGGAGCCATCACTTTTGGAGGGGCCACCATGCCTTCCAAAGAAAGGACGTACGGTGAGAAAGACACATATGACGCGACCTCTCCGGTTCAATGTGTGCCTTGAGCCCTGCTGCGAAAACAGGGCTGTTCCTAAGTGAGTCAAAAACTGTGTTCCTAAGTGAGTGGCCTGCTCGAGAACAGCCTCCAGGGATTACGACACTGCTCTAAGCTCTTGGCATGTGTCAGTTCTGTGTGTTTTGGTACATTTGGTCCTGTCATGTTTGGTTGCGGGCTGCAAAGGATCTATTGCTAACGCACCGAGGGCGAGGCACCATTGACCATCCGCTTGGCCAGTTGTACCAGTTCCAAGCGTGTGCAGCAAGTCAGGGCCGTCAAGAGGACGTGGAACCCGAAGTGACATCCAACCACTCGCCCCGTTTTGCCCTCGCTGGCAATGCTTCTGACTGCTTGCCTGCGCCTCAGGCGGTGCGAGCCGGTCCATTCTGGACGAGTTGAAGGCGGGCTTCCGATGAGGGGAGGAGAGGACATCAAGGGTTGATCCCCAAGGTCTCGGTCAAGGTTTGGTACCATCAGGAACTCGGTTTCACTCAAATGATGGTGGCCATATTGAAGTAGGTGGGTTGAATGTTGAAGGTTAGCCACACTGTTTGGAGAGCTCCGTAATAGATATTGAACCCCCCAGAAGAGTCTTGTGCGGGAAATGCAGGACCGGCCCGGCCTGAAGTTTCCACACAAAACCTCTCCGGCTCCCTTGGAGAAGCCCCATGAACCACGGGAAACGACAAGCCCGGGACCTGAGATTGTTTGCGTTTTCAAGAGCCAGGCAAAGTTTAGTCGGTGGCTTGGAGTGGTGGCTTGGATTGGTGGCTTGAAGCCATGGCTTTAGTAGTCTAGCGGGTAAAGAAACAGAACGGAGAAGGTGTTCTTTTCTTTGAAACATGTCGAGCTTTTGTTCTTGAACTGCAGCCGCGTTACGCATGCAACTACGCCGGGTGCCGAATAGCCCTTGTGTTTTAAACGTCCCAAAAGGATACCAAAAGGGGATGGGTATTGTAAAACTTCTTCCAGACCCTCTATTTAACCCTGTCTGAAATGCAATACAGCCCGGGAAGAGGCCCGGGTCCTTAAGACAATGGCCGAGCATCCTCAATATATGAAACAACATCCAATGAACCACTAGCCACTCCCAATAGAGCAAAAGAACCGGGGTGTCTTTTAGTTGCGCTGAGTTGACCATACATTTATTTCATTGATACTGAGGCAAACACGCTCGACGATTAGCTACTCCAGCGGGCACATTGGTGTAGCTCGTTTTTGATTGGTTGGCGTTTCAGTTGAAATCGCACACATGCCCATGTTGCGCAAGAATTGGAGTCCAGTCAAGGGCCCACGGCGGACACGAATGCCTCTGTAATCGATATCCACCCAAGGGTCAAACATCTTACCCATAATGCTCGTTGCTCAGGTGATTGTCGAGCGCCGCCGCCAAGCAGACGCCAGGCGAGCAGATTGCGCATGCTCCAGTGGCTATGTTGAGAGAGCAACAACCTTTTGAGTTTCGCAGCGATGTGCTTAGTTGCGTTGGCGAAGTCAAGGGCCATCGCAAGTGAAACTTGTCTGGCAACTGAACTTAGCAGATCAGCAGGTTTTGCTATGTGGGTGTGTCGTTTTTCCAAGGTGGTGGTTTGCCTTTTGGCGCCCCTTTAAAACCACAAAACAAGTACCCTAAACAATACGACACCCGTATTGTATGTGCCTTCAGTTTGAATGTGAACATCCTGGACTCAGGGGCAAGCCTTGATCCAAGCGGGACTCGGCTGGCTGACACAACGCTGATCTCAGTACCGATGAACAACATCCTGCAGTCAGGGAGAGTTTATTCCCAGTATTATAGAGATTCATGATCCTTGGTGCAGGACTTTGTCCATCCTCAGTATGTTGAGTGTGTAGCAATCTACTTGCACAGTCCTACGCTTGATCTTGAGATTTGCGCGATCTGTGCAACTTGCTTTCTCACTTTCTCTGCACTTTCTGACTTCACCAAGCTTTTAAGAGGTTTGGAGTTTCAGGGGAGAAGCCAGGGCCCCCCAACCCCCAGAACGTTGGCCCTTCACCTGCTAAGAACTTGTCCTGGTGGTCGGCCTTGAAATGCTCTCTTGCTCCCTAATGTTGCACCTGGTTTAATATCGGTAGTCTGAATTATGTCAAGTTTCCCCGGCTTAAACACGACCCCCCCCCCACTGTTGCGGTACCATGATTTATGTCAAGTTCGAACCCCAAAAAATCCCGTTGAACAAAATCTGACTCAAAATTTGCAATATGGGCAACTGATTTCTCCTCTCAGCTTCCTGGCTCAGTCCCAGAAGTGAAACTCTGCAAATCTTTGGTTGCTCAACCTGAGACGCTGCGGGCTGCGGGCCTCAAATCTTTACTTAAATCCATCCAAAAACAAGCTGCAAAGGGGGTTGCCCACAAGCTAAATTGGTCCTCTTTAAGGGGCACTGTTTGGGTACCATGTTTATTGTCCAGCCTTAGGGGTGGGTGGGTCAGGAATCTCCAGGTCACATCTTTGCCTCTTGCTTTTAAAAGGAGCTCCAAATCTAAAAGCTTAGCAAGGGACCAGGCCAAGACCTGAGCCTCTGAATTTTTGATTTGATCCCAAGCCCCAACCATCAAAATTCGTTACTTAAATCCATCCAAAAACAAGCCCCAAACAGTCCTGCAAAGGGGGTTGCCCACAAGCTAAATTGGTCCTCTTTAAGGGGCACTGTTTGGGTACCATGTTTATTGTCCAGCCTTAGGGGTGGGTGGGTCAGGAATCTCCAGGTCACATCTTAGCCTCTTGCTTTTAAAAGGGGCTCCAAATCTAGAAGCTTAGCAAGGGACCAGGCCAAGACCTGAGCCTCTGAATTCCTGATTTGATCCCAAGCCCCAACATTCAAAATTCTTTACTTAAATCCATCCAAAAACAAGCCCCAAACAGTCCTGCAAAGGGGGGTCGCCCACAAGGGGGCCTGATCCTCTTTAAGGGGCACTGTGTGGGTACCATGTTTAATGTCCAGTCTTAGGGGTGGGTGGGTCAGGAATCTCAATGTCACATCTTAGCCTCTTGCTTTTAAAAGGAGCTCCAAATCTAAAAGCTTAGCAAGGGACCAGGCCAAGACCTGAGCCTCTGAATTCCTGATTTGATCCTAAGCCCCAACCATCAAAATTCATTACTTAAATCCATCCAAAAACAAGCCCCAACCAGTCCTGCAAAGGGGGTTGCCCACAAGCTAAATTGGTCCTCTTTAAGGGGCACTGTTTGGGTACCATGTTTAATGTCCAGTCTTCGGGTGGCAACCCAAAAGGAAGTGCTGGCAATACTAAACCAAGTAGTGGCAGCCCAAAAGGAAGTGCTGGCAATACTAAACTAAGTAGTGGCAGCAACCCAACAGGAAGTGCTGGCAATACTAAACCAAGTAGTGGCAATATAAAAGGAAGTGCTGGCAATACTAAACTAAGTAGTGGCAATACCAAAGCAATACTCAAGTCACCCAAGCCCCCCGCCAAAACCCTATTCAGGATCCCCAGGACTGTTTTGACTGTTTCGGGGGGGGGGGGGCACAGTAAACAAGGTCCAACATTATTCATAGCTTTTGCATCTAGCCCAAAGCTTGTGGTCGAGGGGCATGTACAAAAGGAGCCTAGAGAGAGCTTCAGCTGCTTTTGTTTGAAGTTCGGCAGCTTTTTCGAAGCCAGGACTGGCCCAAAAGGCTTGACGCAGTTCGTGTGATCATGACCCAAAACCATCTTACTCGGGGCTAAGACGTGCAGAAGCCAGGTTAAGGGAACTGTCATTTCCCTCACTCCCTAGGTTTCTGTACTTCATACTTTTTCTTCCGATTTGGTAGCATACAGAAGGCTCTTGGCCAATCCACTCAAGTGAGCAGATGTGTTTGTGGTGCTTGCGCAAGGGTTTTCCATAGGCTTGCGCAGAGAGTACCCCGGGGCAAATGGGGCATATTCCCTTCATACTGTGGATTGACGAAATCCTGCACCACCGAGAAATCCCTGGAATGATGCGATTCCCCAAGGTAAATACCAACAAATAATGGTTTCAACCATGGTTTCAAAGTGGTGCGAAATGGATTTCGCAACCATCCACAGTGCGGCTACTTCCCCAGAAGAAGTGTCCCTTTTCATTTGTTTGCTTTTTTGGGGTCCCCTTTGTTTTCCACAAACCAGGCAAAAAATATGTTGTTTTGCTGGGTTCCTAATTCCAGCCTAGGCTAAAGGTTGCTCACCATCCTCGGGCTTGAAGGCGCAGCTTCCAGCTGTTGGTCTCCTCGGCCCTACGGGAGTCCTGCCTTCAGAGCGCCGCTGGGCCGACTTGATGGGACCGGGTCTTGGTGAAAATTGGGCCAAGTCCAGGACTCGACCAATGATAAAATAATGAAAAGGGCAATTGAGCCACGTCCTCAAAACCCGGGTAGATGAAGGTTGCAGTCCCAGCCAGAAATGGTTGAGGCCGCCTTCTTAATTCTTTACATGGTTCTGGGTAGACCATTCTAATACCGGGTTTTGATTGTGACTCAATTTGGGTACGAGTCAACATGATATACACCACGAGGAGACGGTTTTAGTCCATGTGTCCATCTCCGAGGGCAAGCCATTTTGGATATCTGTTTTTGATCCGCAGCCATTGCAAGGGACTATTCGGGAAGAGGGGTTTTGGAGGTATGGATGCTTACTACCCATATGAGCTTGTTCGGCAGCAATATACCCCTTGTATAAGTGTTAAACTGTTCGGTAAGCTCCATGCCTCCTAAACCCCTCACCATGAAATTGCAGTTGGCAGTAAAGTAGAAAAAACAACTTGTGAAGCATGAGTCCCGGTGTGTTGTGTGATTCTCGGTATCCTTTCCAGGGTTTGAAGGGAAACCGATTGGCATTTAATTTCAACAACCTCCGTTTGGTTCCCCTTTTAGCTTGCCGCTTCCACAGGACCAATGTCAGCTCTGTTGTAGAAAGAAGCCTGCAAGAGAGGTCCCAGATTATTGGGGGAGGAAACAGGTACTAGCACCTATTGAAGCCAACCTATTGAGCCAACCTCTTGGTCAAAATGTTCAAACACGTGTTCTTTAAACTGCCAGGGGGCGAGGGGTTGGTTGTTTGAGCATGGAGCACATGTTGCAACCAACAAAACGAGCCGCATACCTCTGTTGGGTTACCTTAACGGAACTGGAGAGTTGCTCAGACTCAAACAGATGTTGCAGCCGACCCTGTTGGCTGCGCCAAGCGGCCCCTTTTTCGGTTCAGCTGCGCTCGTGAGTTGGTGCCCTTTTGAGCCAGCGCTTTTCAATTCCGAAAGGAAAGTGAGAGGCCACAATTTTCAGGGTGATTCTTCAGTTGTTTGTCTTTTGACAAGCTGCAAGCCACGGGGTCTCCCAGAAGTCGGCTCGAGCAGTTTTCAGGGGCGCCGGAGGGCTCCGGAAGGGTTCCGGGGCTGTTGGGCGCCAACTTGTTTTTTCTTTTATTGTGACGCCCACCAGCTTTTGGATCTGCAGACGGTGGAACACCATGTCTTGCGTGATGCACAGCGCCCATGAAGAAGACAACCGCCTTCTTACCACCCACGAAGGTACTCACGGACAAGCCCGAAGATTGCCTTGGTGCCTGAGGATGTATTTGACCCTCGGAATTATCTTTAGGTGCACGTGTACGCACTTCTACAAGATATGAGTAAGGAAAAGAATGAACTTGATTTGTTTCCCCGAATAAAGCAACCCCCACCAGCACCCTCCGACTACCGTCTAAATTTTATCTTCGAAACTACCGGGTATTTGGCAGTAGTTCCGAAAATAAAATAAACGACTGTAGATCCGCGATCTACGGTCGTTTCATGTTGCCCCAAACAGTGAAAAACAAGACCACGGGGTGACACGGTGACACGGGGTGACACACAGGCGACACGGGGTGACACGCAGGCGACACGGGGTGACACGGGGGCGACACGGGGCGACACGGGGGCGACACGGGCCGACACGGAGCGAAACGGGGCGACACGGGGTGACACGCTCAAACGACAGTAGTTCGCAGCGATCTACTGTCGTTCTGGGGGGGGCGACACGGGGGCGACACGGGGTGACACAGGTGACACGCAGGTGACACGGGGTGGCAGGGGTGACACGCTGTGAGGCGCTTGCTGCACTTGCTGCCACCCCTTGATTGCCACCACCCCCGCTATGGCATCTCCCCGCTGTAAACAGTAGCTAGCAGTACTTAGACTATGGGCATCCCACAAATAAAATAATTGACAGTAGTTTTTCTAACTACGGTCGTTTTCTGGGAAATTCTATCTACTGCCGTTTGGGCAGTAGTCGGAGGGTGCTGGCAAGGATTAATTCTTGTTAGTTGGGAGAACCTTGGGGGTTGCTTTAGTTAAAGAACTATATGCCCCCGAATAAAGCAACCTCTTCTTGGGGTCAATCCAATTGCTCATTCCCTGCCGATCGCCGATCGCACCCGAAACCACCAAGCCCCTTAGAGCCTTAGGGCCCATGGGCGAGGTGCGTGAGGCGGCGGCTGAGGGGGCCATTCTGGTGGTCACAGAGCTGCAACTGGCCTCAGAGCCTGGGACGCTTTAAGTGAGGGAAGCGGTGTTTGGAGGGTTCCGTGTTTTTTTTTTGGCGCTGTGTTGTGTTTGATTGATTTATTGTTTTAAAAGTGTATGTTTGTCTATATCTATGTGTGTGTGTGTGTGTCGTGTTTGTTTGTTTTCTTGTCTGTTTGCTTGATTGTTTGTTGTGTGTTTTTGCTTGTCGGTCGGTTGTGTGTGTGTGTTTGTTTGTGTTTGTGTTTATGGTTGTTGTTGTTTGTTTGTTTGTTTGTTTGTTTGTTTGTTTGTTGATTGATCGCGTCGTTTGTGTTGGACGCCGTTTTGTTGAGTTTATGCTATGTTGTGTTAAGGTTGTGTTTTGTTTCGCATTTTACTTTGCCTTGAACTGCGTGGCCCATGTATTGTTCTGTTGTTGTGTTTTTGTGTGTGGTGATTTCGAGGGTCAACGGGTTCTTTAGGATGTCATCTTAGCCGATCTTCCTGGGACGGGTGCGGTGAATCCCAAGTCAACACTTGTCGGGTTCCTGTTTGGTGGGCAAGTGAGTTGTTGTTTTGAGGTTAATGGGTATGTAAGTGGTGTTTACGGCGATGTGTTTGATGCTCCAGTCTTGGCGGCTTGTTGCTTTCACCGACATACGGGTTGCCAATACATGGTTGGTTTGAGCTGCTGGCCAGTAAGTTTCAGCTTGTGAGTTCGGGGTGGCTTATTGGGATGCCAATTTATATCTGTATGATTATACCGATTTTAGACCGGTCCCTGAATTCTCTATGGGGTCATTACCCAAAAGAAAGGGGTCATGGCCATTTTTGAGGTAGTTGGCGGGTCGGGTTTCCTTTTTAGCGGGTTGAGGCAGTGCCATCGGTTTCTTCCTCTGAGTGATGGCCCTTCCATAGTTCCTGTTTTGGGGTCATGTGGAAAAGCAAACCAGACATTTTTGAGGGGGTCGACTAGTTTGACACGCGCCGTATACCGTGTGGTTTGTTTCAGCTTGTTCAAAGGCTTTACGTTCTTGAACCACAAAAGGATTGCTACTGGCTTTTTTGGTGGGGCACCCCCCAAAACAAATGTATCCTTTGGATTTCCCTGCAAAACACCCAACCCCAAAACCATGGTACCCTGCAAAACAATCATGGCTCCCCCATTTGCGTTGTGCCTTTTGTTTTCACCGACTCCGACACGTCCTTTTTGCGTCCGACGCGTCGACGACTCGTCTAGGAGCATTGGCTGGGGTGCCTGGAGCTGCTCATGGAGGCCGGAAATGCCATGAAGATCTCTAGAAAAACCCAGTGCTATTTTACCGTTTCGTTTTTGGTTGGGAGGGTTCCCCTTTGGACTAGAAATATAAAAGTTGGTACCAACTTAATCCAACCTCTCTACTGGAGGACCTAGTCTACTTGAGGAGTTCCTTGTTTCTTATTTGGGTATGGGTAAATAATTAAACCACCAGGGGTCAGCTCATCTCCATGTTGGGTACCTATTTTTGACCCACACCCATTTCTTGTTTCATGTGTTGGACATATGTGAAAAACAATCCTGCATATTTTGCTGTTCCGGTTTTGGACATATGGTGAAACAAGAACATACCCACTGCATACCCAAAATGAACAGTTATTATTTCAGGTTTGGGGAAACATATGGTAGTTTTTGTGCATGCCAACAAAAGAAAGGGGTGGTACTCATGTTTGATTCGGGTCCTGGTCGCGGACGCAGGAGATTTTGCGTGGTTTCTCCAGACCTCCAACCGCAGCATTGAGTTTATTTGCAGGGCCTAAAGGCAGGAAAACCTCCGCTTCTCACTTGCGCGAAGCCGACCTTTTGACCTTTTTGTTCCTCCATTGTTTGTCGGTTTGTAGTCAAGAAAGGTTAACCTTGTATTTCTAGCAGGCGTTCGGTACACAAATGGCCAAGTTGTTGTTTTTTCTTATACGTTTTTCTCCACCCGTGCGTTTTGCATGTTTCTGGGGACATCGGAGCCAGGCACCCTTTCCATGGAAAAGCTTGATTTGGGTTGATGGGAACTTGCTCAAGGGACACCCATACTGTGGATGGTTGCGAGATCATGCACTATTGTGATTTGGTATTTACAGGAGAATCGCTAGGAGCTCGCTAGGAGCTTTGCATGTCCAGCCTCCACGTCAGCTCGCCGGAGCGGAACGAAGGCACTTCGGAAATTTCCTTCGAGGGTCTTGGCGTGGGCGTGTGGTAGAGGCCCCGTTAATTGCGGTGAATTGGGTGGGCATCCGTCCTTAGGAGAAAATCGTGGAGATTTTAGAACCATTGTGTTTCTTAATTGGGGGAGCCATGATGACTCACAGGAGTTCCACCATGGCGTGGAGCCCAGAGGGTCTTTCAGCACTGAGATGTGCATCGAAACACGAAAGAGAAGACACTCGGAGGCTACCAGAGTTGCAACATGCTTTCGACTTGTAGTCCCACTGCTCAACACTGCACGAAATGGTTCGCGCTTCAATGTCCATGTGCGTGGGAGGGTGAAGTTCAGGGTGCGTCTTTTTTCATGGTACCCCTTGTTTTTTGGGAGTTGAAGGAACCAACAGGAAAGCCATCATTTTGTGGGGCGTCTCCAAAAAAGTCACACCCATGCCCATACGCAACAATTGCGTAGCCACATGGGAATATGCTTGTTTTCCTTGTTTGTGGGTGCAAACCACCTTGGAAACGAGGACCCTGCCAAGTTGGAGGGAGGGTTGCTAGTCAGTCGTGAAGAAAGCTGGTTGCCATTTGGTAGCTGGTTCCACTACCTAGTTTCACGGAGGCTATAATGAGGCCCATAAACCTTTACATCCATTTTGGTAGAATCGACGTGGGTTTTCAGCGCGGCTCATTTGGAAGGGTAACGTAAGTCCACAATTGCCTTCGGGAAATGCAGGATACGGTGCATTTGATCTGTGGACATTGCTTGGGTGTTCGGCCAAGGTAGAAAAGTTGTTGACTCCAGGAATCAGGAATGAGATAAGTTGATGACCCCAACAATTGACCGACCTTAGACTAGATTTGGTTTTGTGACCATTGACCCTAACAATTCTTCGGCCAAGTTACCAACCATTATAACCTCCAAGAACCGGTGCATGGCTGTGTGTTGCTGTTGAGGCTACCCCGCTTTAGGCTGGCTTAAAAGACAAACTAAGAGGAAGCCGACCGAGAGTGGGTCCGGGTCCACAAGTCCCTTTGTTCACCCCCTTTGGTATTTTTTTCTTTGACCTTTAACATAAATTTGGGTGTGGCTCAAAAATCGGACTTGGCCCAAAATGGAACCCTGGCAAATGGAGAAGTCGTGGAAAACCTGCGGTCTTTTGACTCTGAAGTTTCGAGCCACCCCCCATCGTCCCCCAACGCTGTGGGTCTGGGTCAACTTGATGCAGATTCCTTCGGGAGGCCCGGTGGTTTGCTCCTCCGTGAGCCGGTCGCTGTCCGCCCACGTGCGCCTTGACATAGGAGACGCTAGCGTTTGGGGAGAATTATAGTGCTACTCTAGGTCCCCCAGTAGTGCCCTTTTGCCCCTTTTTTGGGGAGGGTTCCCCTACTAAAACAGTCTACAGAAAAATGGGCACCCCTCTCTACTGGAGGACCTAGTATTTGTTTAGTCCCCTCTTTGGTTCAAGGAGATACTGTCACTAGTAGAGATTCTATTCCATCACTACTGGACATATGGTCTCATGTGTTTCCAGGGGACTTTAGCAAATGGATGTATTTGTTCAGTTGTTCTGTTAGACAAAATTCCTTTAGGTTTGTTTGGTTCCCCACTGTAATGGCCAAGTATCTAGGATCTGTTTTTGGCGGGACCCTCAAAGTACCCTCAAATTCTCCATGTGTGGATGCTTGGCAACTCAATGGGGTCTGATCTCTGTTGAATTTGTTTGTCATTTGTAGGTTCACCACCTGGACGTTTCCGTCAGAATCGGAACAAGAACTGACACAGATTTGGCTCCCACGTGGTCTTTGTAGTTTCAGCAGGGAAACCAAGCGGGGTTGCCGCGTTGTGGACGTATGAGATTCATTCAACCCCCCGAACGCAAGGGTGTTCATTCTGAGTTTCCCGGACTTTGTTTGGCCCATCTAGTTGCTCGGAAAGTGAGGTTTGTTGGGAAAGAGTTCGACAGTAGTTCAATCCCTAAGCAAAGGGTTGGCCCGACCCAGACTTTGTGGTTATCCGTGGAGGTTAGGGTTAGGTGGGTGGGGTTCCATTCCCCAAACCGATGAGTGTACGCTTTTTGCATCTCATGTCTGACCGGACCGGAGGGAATTTCTCGAGATCGAGGCGCGAAAGCCGGGACTTCCGGCTGATCCTTTGCGTGGAAGGCTTCGTGGCCTTGCCAACCAGCATGCTGCAGATGTGTCAAAAGGCGCGCATTTCCGCGCGCGCGGATGTCGATTTCCGATCCATCCGGGATCCGGCGCGAAGCTGGCCAGATCGACGAATCGACCCATTTGTTTCGCACTGGGTTCCATTTGCTGACATGAAGATGTGTCATTTTCCATTGTTAGTTTTAAAGGGAATCTATCACTACTGGAAATGTTGTTTCTTTTTTTCTAGGTGGCTTAAGCAAATGGAGCTTGGGTTCCCACTTTGAGTGGCCCAAGGTGATTACCCGCATGTTTCTGCGTCAGGTTCCTTGCCCAGTCGGGCCTTGCCCGGTACAGTGGCGCCGTTCGTTCATGCCGCAGATCCAACACCTTTGGGTTTTCTGGTTGATTCCCGAACAAAAGCGTACCCACACAGAATCACATGTGGTGGAATAATTTTCCCTTTGATTCCCCTTACCAACAAAAAAGGTACCCACAGAAACACACGCGCACACACACAACTCAATCAGCTCTGAGCATGGCTGGTGTAAAAATGTGTGGTCCACGTGCCCTTCTGCTCCTCAAGAGAACCATCTCTGCAGTAGGTTCCTCTGCGAGGCTTCACGTGTGCTTAAGACATGTTCTTAATTTTCCCCAAGTGGTGTCAAAGGGAATCTATCACTGCTAGACATATTTGTTTTGTTTGTTCCACAGCCAAAAGCAAATGGAGGGAAGTATGTTGTGGTTCTTTGTGTTACTACCGTTCTCGCATCCTTGGCGTTTTAACTTGGGTTTGATTACCTATAGGACCAGTGCTCGGTTAATTGCCATGTTCAACATAGATCGTGAAAGTTCTCATGCTAGTGTGGTTCTCTTGTGAGAGTGGTCTGCCACTGCGCAATGTGGATTAAGTTTAGCGACCCCCTGCCCATTTTGAACAACAAATCAAATACATTATCATTAGTCCTGCCAACAAATGCAGTAAATGAAGCTTTCCACCATGCCCTTCAAAAATTGGGCCCTGCCGCCTTTCTTTTGGGTAATGACTCGACCCATTTTTCGAAGGGTCCTGCAGCAAAACACCAGGTATAGATCGCTTCGTATCTTCAATGGGACACGTCTCCCCGCCACCCCCCGGCCCGTCGAGTGACGAGCAACGCGAGCAACGCGAGGTGGCGGTGTTGCCGCCCAGCGGCGTGCGAACGCGTCTGCGGCAGCTGGCGCAAAGGGTGGACTGGGAACCGGAGTCTTCGCCCGGGAGGCACGGTGCGCTGGGCCTCGGACACCAGCTGTGTGTCCGGTTTTGAGGCTACGCTTCCTTCCATCTGCTGAGATGTGTATATAATATATATATATATACATATATATATATATATAGGTTGCTCTCTGTTTTTCCTTGGTTTTAAAGGGAGTCTATCACTCTTGGACATATTTTTGTCCAGGGGTGAAAAACAATTGGAGGTCTTCCGGGCAACCAATGGGACTCCGATGGTTTCGGGCTGAATCAAGCTCGGAAGAGTGCCAAGGTTCCAAGAAAAGCTTGCGGTTCGTGGTTCGGGTGGCTCTCTCGAGTTCCGTTTCGGTTGTTTAGTTGGCGTTTTTCGGGTTCTTGGTTAGTCATGAAGTGGTAGAGAACAAGTTCCAGGACTTGTTTTGGTCAATCCACTCAGGAAGTGAGGTGTAACCCACGCCATTATAGCTGTCCGCCTCCTTTGGCGGACAGGGATGGCTGAGTTTCTCCAAATAGAGACCAATGGTCGCAAGACGTGGTGACTGGAAATGACAGGAATCGTCAGAGGTTCCAAGCCTTAACTTTCCTTGTAACCCCTCAATGGGGATTGACAACCAAGGTAAAAGATGTTTAAGAGAAGCATGGCCATGACCCAGAGGAGTTCTGATCAGGGCACGTGTACTGCTCACAGGCCATCCGATGAGCGTCGTGCTGGATGGCGCCGCAACCTGTGGCACGGTTGCAATATGGCTCGGGAGACTGAAATGGGAGCAAGCGAGCATTGCTTTCATTGATGCAAAACATGCCTGTGTCTTTGTTTGCGCATGTTTTTTTCTGCTCAAATGCTTGTTTGCGCGTTTTGTGGTGTGTTCGCGCGCTTTTTTGAATTTACGCACTGCACTGTTCGGATACAACTACTCAGGTAGTCGAATTCGGCACTGCTTGTGGAAACAATCGATACTGCGCTACTCGTTCCCTTGCCGGCGCAGCAGTTTGTTGAAGTCTCTTATGGTTACATCTTTACATCTCAACAAAAGCGCTTCTTTTGCCTCAACCCAGGCATTGTTTAGGCAGGCATTTTGTTGCACATATGGCACCCGGCGCAAGTACCACCTATCACCTGGACATCACACTTGTGGCCATTGATTTTGCAACTCGCTTGGCTGGCTTCAACCTCCATGAATAGCTCCAAGCCCGCAAGCATTTCCTGGGTTTGCACGGATCCGCTGTTTGCTCCAGGACCGTGCTTGCGCCACACTTTTTGTTGAGACAAGTCGCTGTCAGGTGAAATTTAATCGTTTTTGAGCGCCCTGCCAACCCGCAATTTGCGCGCAAATTTCCGGTACTATCGCGCAAATGTCTGCAATTTCGTGTGCACATACATGTGCGCGTTTCTGACCTTTTTAGGCAGAAGACGCCCCGAAGCGCCGGAATTGCCAACCAAAAGCTCTATTTTGAGCCAGGTGTGGTCAAAGTTAAGCTTGTTTCTCTTGTCCATCAAGCTGGCTTGTCAAGATGCAAGGCGAAGCCAGACAATGCCCAACAGGCAGCCAAAATGCACGCAGCTTCCTTAGAGGTGGCCGCTCTCTTTTCACATCACCACCCGTCTAGCCGTGTTAACTCTGAGATGTGAGAGCGGAGTGAATGAACATGACTGAAGCGATGAGACAAGTGAATGAGCGAGGCATGAGTGAGTGAGTCGTCTCGCCTCTTCCTTCTAATCTTTTCCATTCTTTTTCCCCTTGCCATTATTAACAGGAAATTCCTTAGGGAAAGATATGGCCATGGAAAGAGAAATAGAAAGGAACCATCTCTAAACCCGCCGCATCTACAATTGGGTTTGAAAAGGCAGGTAAAGAGATGGAAAAAGAAAAACAAAAGAAAAGACACAGATAATAGGAAATACATATTTATAAGATAGAACATGTACAATGAAGTAATAATAATAAATACTACAAATATTAATAGAATATAAATAAAACCAGAATAGAAAATAGAGTTATACATAAAAACAAAAAACAAGAAAATATATTATTGCGGCAATTAAAAGAAAACCAATAAAATAATAATATATACATATATAAATATATTTATGTGAAACACAAACAATGAACAATAAAAAAGACATAGCGTTCTAAATCTATTATCCTCATGTTGAATAATATTTATTGTGTATTACGAATGAAGTCTCATTTGCAATCATATCCTTGTCCTCTGATCATAAACTACTTTTGGAATATTGGTTGTTTATTATGAATTACTATTGTATTACAAACTATCTCTGGCATCTTCTTAGGTTTACATGTAACATCAGATATTCATTCAGCATATTTTAGTATTTTCTTCTTAATTAGATAAATATATTATGGATGGTGTTTACGTTCTCTTCATTCCAATGGTGCATCATTTCTCTTTATCTTTATATTTCTACATCTTGGAAGAGCTATATCTTGTGCTTCATATTTGTATAATCCTAATACTTGGTTTTCTGGAACTATGATTTCCTTCTTCTTAATGGGAACAGCATGTATGAGTTATGTTTTGCCGAATGGACAAATGAGTTTATGGGGAGTTACAGTAATTACAATTTTATTTTCCCCCATTCCATCTTTAATAGAATGGCTTTGTGGCGGACATTTTCACAGTCCAACATTGAAGAGGTTCTTTGTCATTCATTTCCTATTTCCATTTCTTCTTTGCGGTTTTCTGATTATCATATTTTTAAAATAAGACCCGCCATCTCCTTCCCTCGCCTTCCTTCGTTCGTTAGCTCGCTCGTTCATTCCTATATGTCATATCCCTCTCTCCTAACTCTCCAGGAAGCGAGGTAGGGAGCTGACAGAAAGAGAGTTGGGTGAGGGCGTGCAATGAAGGATCTCTTACACATGCCCATTTAATTATCCTTCCTTACCTATCTATTTCTCACTTCGGAATTACCTTGATGAAGATGTGTGAGAGAGAGATAGGCCCCATCTCTTCTCTCTTTCCTTGTCTCGTCCTCCGTCCATCGCCAGCGGAGCGAGGAGATGGGCTAAGAGGTAGGCGAGAGAAGGCGAGCTAACCGTTCATCCCTCACTCTGTCTCTGTTCTTTGGATGATTCAGGCGAGTTGTGGTCGACAAGGCGCGCATTTATCCTAGTCCTAGTTCTTTTTGAACAGCTTGGCTTGCTGATGTCAAGGCTATATACGCCCAGAACCTTTACCAAAACCAGCCACACACGCCTCGCACAGTTCTTGAAACTTTACGCGTTTTTACTTGAAATGCGCACTTTTCCAATGTGCGCACCTGTTTTTGCTCAAATGAAGATACAGGTAAGCTCACCATCACTACCATTAGGTACCCCACCCGAACCCGAACCCGAACCCGAACCCGAACCTCCCCCCCCCCAAAAAAAAAAGGGGCCCGAACCCGAACCCGAACCCGAAACCGAACCTCCCCCCCCCCCCCAAGCGGCCCGGCCCAGAGCCGTCCTTCACTAGGCGTTCCCCCTCTTTTCTCGGTATGGGAATCATGATGAATCGTCCAGAAAGATTTGTATGTCTCGTTGGCAATAGATTTGCTAAGCTATGATTATTGATGTTGGTGCTTGTTTGGCATCATCAGCTTATGCAAGAAGAAACCTGATTTGGAAGTGCTTCCGCATTTGTGCAACTGCTGAGCTATTGTTGACGCCATTCTCTTCACTTTGGTACTTGTTATAAGTGACGCGGATGTGTATTTCACGCATGGCATGTTGTTTTCCTTCAGACCATTATTCTCACTTGCGCAAAGCAAAAGCTTTGACCATTTTGGGATTGATCATTGATCCCTTTGGGCAGCTTCCATTTGCTTAAGAAGATCTGTTGGCTTTAAAGCGAATCTGTCACCGCTGGAAATCGAATTTGTTTGTCAGGGGACGTATTCGCAAATGGCCATGGGTTAACACCCCGTATCCCCAGTGAAAATCCCAATCCCCACTAAAATAGATTAAACTGGGTTGTGCACCTATCCCCAAATGGTACCAGTGGTTTTGAACCATGGCCAAATGGAGGGGCCCGTCGCGCATTTTCGAGGTTCTCCTTATGCCTCTTCCACGCTGTGCTCTGTGAGCGGTCCCGCTACAACTGCTTCTATGCTGCGGCATATGCCACTCGGAGTGCAGACGTTGGGCATCTGAAAGGGCGCGACCTGAACCCTCAAACTACCCAGAAAAAGAGGGAGTTCACCCCATATTTTGGGCAATGACCCCTTTTTGAGAGAATTTTGAAAGTCCAGGTAAGAAATTGGCCTGTGTGTGCAATGGTCCCGATATCACCCCTTCTCCTGCAAAAAGACCGTTGGCTCTTTTGCTTCGAAGCAATGCTGATCCATCTTGGTCAAGGTTTGAACTTTTTTTTGTTTCAGGGCCTTTGGGCAAATGAGTGTCAGTCAGCACGCGATGAGACCAATCACTGTGTCCAAGCAGCAAACAAGCAGTATGATCATTCCAGGAGTGGTTGCTCTTGGAGTTCCGCGGAAAGAAGTGAGTGTCAGAAGCTTTTCGTTTAGATTCGGAAACGTGTGAGGCTCGTCCAAGAAGGGAAGGGCTTTGGTATCAGACTGCTGTTCCCTCCGAAGTCCTTCCTTTCCCTACTTGGCTGTGTCTTAAATTGGGAACCCCGAAGACAATAAATGGTGTCCATTTGGTTTTCAGTAGAAAAAACCTCAAAAATGGTACCCGGCACACTCATTTCGCGGTTTGATTATTTTGCTTTTGATGGGAATACATGATTGATAAAACCCCTGGTTGAGTATGATCGGGGGTGTCCCATTGTAGGGATGGATCCTTCCTTCTTGTAATAATCCACGAGGTTGATTAATCCGGACAATATATTTTTCCGGATCGACAACCCAGTAAGTGCCCCCCCCCCCCAACACTCTTCCGCCTTTCAGACAAAGTTTTGCCTTGAACATAAGTAGCATGTTACCTTCCAGGTTGACAAAGCCTGACTCATTCGTCAACCCGTCTGCAACCAAGAGGTGACCTTAAGACATGTAACATCATTGTGCCAGACAAAGAGACTGGGTTGCACCCGAAAGTCCGTGGCAAAGGGCCCTTTTCAGGTCCCCAGACCTCCGGTGCTCAGTTCAACATCAACCACTAAAGGGTACCCTTTTCTGAAAATGGCCACTAGACGGGGTTTGGTAGTGATTGAGAACTCTTTTTTTCCCATTTCATAGACTTCCATTTGCTGAAGAGTATTCTTGTTGTTTCCCCTGTTGATTTGCTAAAGGCAATCTGTCACTTCTGGACTGTTTTTCCTGGGCAGCGAAGCAACTGGAGGACCACGGACCACCCCCAGTCTCCACGAATGTAAGAAACCAGCTAATTACGAATTCCTGCAGGAACGTCGCCCAAATTGATGGGTAGTTGGCAAATTTGGATGGAGTCACAATCAAACCCGGGTAGATGAAGGTTAGTAAGGGACGATCCCACCCAGAAATAGCTTCAGATATCCGCCTTCTAAATTATTTACATGGTTCTGGGTAGACGGTATTTTAATACCGGGTTTTCTAGTCTGGTCTTAAAACCCCATTTTGGAACCCATATGCCTGGGAAAAAGAAGAAGAGAACCCCATGTAGACCATTTTTGCACCGGGTGTTGAGCAAGCGACTCATTTCAGGACTTCGGCGCCTCTTTCCGCAGCGCCTGCGGCTTTATGCGAACCGCCTGGAGCCAGGAGATGGGCTGCGGCTTCCTTTTGGTCGAGACGTGCTTCGCTGCGAAAAATGAGAAGCCACGGGCGAAACCAGACAGTTCTCGATATTTACGTCGGGGAATCCAATCATTCCCTTGGCTGTCTTGATTTCTGGGGCGGTGCAGGAATAGACATGGGACGACTACGTTATCGAGTTTAGAGTTCAGACAGCAAAAATGAAACCATCAATTGAGCACACAAAAAAGTCAAAGGTTAGTGAGGGTATGTGTTGTACCCAGAAGGGCTGGGGATTCGGAATATGCGTCTGCTGCGTGTGTTACAGGGTTGGCTTGGACATGATTTTGCTTCCCTTGACCTGGGGGTCATTGATTAGACGTTTTCTGGGGGTTGGCAAAATCAGAAACTGGAGTGGTTTTCCTTTAAGCTCCCACTTGGTTGGCTTTGATAGTGGTACACTCATGGGGCCAGTTGACAGCCACTCAAAAGATGTACCCTCAGACAGAGTCAACATAGGAAGCTCGGTCAAGATACCCGTAGTCTACGATAAATTTGGTCGGATCATTGGGGACTCAATAGACTTCCCACCAACACCAGGGGACTCGCTAATTGTTCCGCCGTCCTTCACGGCAACCGCGTATTTTTGATCGTGGCTCATATTAGAATCCCAGGAGATTCCTAAGGTAAGGGCCTTGCTTTAGTTTGCTCAAGTTTGCTCACTGACTACGAAATCGGGTTTTTCACGTAGTCATGGGCGTGATGCACAACCTCGTCGATTTTCCTGGGAATCGATGGGACAGCATCCGAGTGCTCCAGGAGTCAGATCCACCTTGGGCGCCTCTTCCAAATCTTGGGGGCGGGGGGTGGGGAGGTTGGTGCCATGAAGTCCCAGTGGTTTCCTTCGCAAACCCCCATGCATTTCTGACGCCACAGGATGCCGAACTTGTTTCCCACCCATGTGTCTTGTAAGGTAGTGTCTGTTTCACGTCCTGTTTTCGACCCCCAGTAGAGGTCTGGGGCCCAGCTGTTGGTGTCAATTAAGTTGGCCGTAGACTCCTAGCAAATTAAACAAGACCTCCAGGTTCAGTTTGGTTTGCGATTGGTTAATAAGAGGGCATCTCACTTCCCGAATTCCTTTATACATGCCCTGGGCCGGGCCAGAGTAATCAGCATACACAAGAGGTCCCGGAATTTATAGTTTTGGGTTGGGATTTCAGTGGCAAGCAACAAGTTTGGACCCTGTTTTGCCGATCTACTCAGAAAGAGTGTTGTCCAGCCATTTCCTGATCCTTTCGTTGCAGAGTAGATTGGCCTTTTGCGAGCAGTTGCCCAAAAGCGATTCTACTAGATGTTTCAAAGTTGTTTCACTTGGCTGCGATCTGTGAGCCTGAAAAGTCTCCAAACGGCGCGCCTTCCAGTTGTCCTTTTCAACATCAACCAAGAGGTCACAAGAACACATGCAGCTGGGGCCCCGTAGAGTAGTGTAGTGCTAGCACTCTTTGGGAGCCTGCGGGTCTTCGATTTTGTGCCTTGTCTTTGAGGGAAACCGAAGGGACACGGTTCGTCCGCTAGATTAGTATACCCTTCTCTATCATTTGAGGAACCAAGCGGAAACCTGGGCCCAGGAGACGCACCCATGGCTCTAGTTATGAGAGCTACAAGAGTTAGAGCTCGCTCAATGATTGGGAGGGACAGTGATTCCGATGCACATATGTCTGGCCGACCACAAACATACTCCTAGTTAAGAGCAAGCCCAACTATCTATTTGTTGCTATGGACTGCTGTTGTGGTTCTTATCAATTGGTTAGATACTGACTGTACACTCAACTTGAAGCTTCACAGAAGCGTGCCATGAGCGTTGCTTGTTACTCCAGCTGGTTCAACATGTTTGGATGAAGACGCGCCAGGCAGAGACTAGAAATCGAGGTTTACTTTCCCGTATAATGCACCAACTGCCTTTCAATATCAGTGGTTTTTTTTGTTCATGGGGATTTCGCCGAACACTCCAGATATTGAGGTGGTCTGGCTTGGTGCATTTTTTTTTGCGGTCCTGCGTGCGTGCTTGCGTGCGTCTTGCGTGCGGTCCGGACCGAGCCGCTGAGGACTTGCTGCTGCACTTCATCCGGCCTCTCGGCCGACCGTGACGTCGCCGGTTTGGTCTGAGGCGCAAGTCCCCGGGGGACGATTCTCCGGTCGAGGAAGGCACTGAAGAACCCAAACCCCCACTTCCGGGACGCCTAAAAAAACCGCCCAAGATAAAAAAGCAACAACAAGCCAGAGACAAGATCGAACTGTCCCCCTGATTTTGATATGTGGAGGTCCGATCCGATAAGAAACCCCTTAGCTTCTGGTTCCCTGACGTCTCGCACTTCCTCCGGAAGGCTTCTTTAGGGGCAAGCAAAGAAACACCTAGGGACCCGAAAAGGTGAACATCATTTAGCTGAGAGTTTATGTTTATCAATCAAGTTCCAGTAGGCATCACTGTTGGGCATTTTGCTTGGATGTTAGGACTTTAACTTTTTGCCAACTCGTGGGTTTCCATTAAACCACTAAAAGTTAAACTTTTAGCAGGGGAGCAGAAAGCAACCGAGATCATTTAGGTGAGAATTTATGTCGGCCAAGCATTTTCTAGCGGGTTCCCTAGTGAGTTTCATCGCCGTTTCTCCTCACTGTCTTTTTCTGCTCGCGCAGAGCGGATCATCCAGCTGGTCATTGGGAAAGGGAGCCCAGGAGATACATCCAGAATCCATGTTTTTCTTCAAAGACTCACTTGCCCCGAGGGAATCCACCGTTTAACTGTTTGGCTTCCCATATTTGGCTCATTTTGAGTCATGACCCAACATGTTTAGAATTCCTTTTATGTCTGGATCCTTAAGGGGCCACCGGCGTTATTCAGAGTGCAAAGCGAGTCGGCCTTTTCACCTTCTGGGTTTCTCTTTGGGTCCACGCTTCGTGGTTCCACAGCAGACTTATCAAGAATATGTTTGATTTCCTCTGTTGGCTGTACCAGGCATCTATCACTACTGGACATAACATGTTCTGATTTTCTTTCTATTCGGGGGCATATTTGCTGGAGGGCAAGGATCCAACATTTCAGATGTCCAATAAGGTCCCATGGTACCAGTACCTTCCTCTACTAACCTGTGTGGAAGCCTCCAAGTAGTTTCGGGTCCTCGGGGTTGAGGAATCCTTACCCCGCCCTTTGTCAGGGCGGAAATGGAGGAACAGGTTCCAAAAGGTGATCACCTTGTACTTGCTGGTGCGATAGGCAGGGAATCAGAATTGGAATGACCCCGAGAAAAACTCCATCCAGCTGGTGGTTTCCTTTCTTCGGGGACAAAACGGGTCATTCCCACATTCCCTACTTGCCGAACCACCCCAAGGGTCCGATTCGACGGTTTTGGGGCCCTAGGGGGTTGTTGTTTTTTGGGCCCTTGAGGAATTGGTCGGGGTTCTCTATTGGAAGGTCCGGGGGTGTGGAGGGGTCATGACTGTTAGGGCAGCAAGTTGATTTCCAGGTCCTTTGGTCTGAGGGTTTTTTTGTATTGCAGCCTGTAACTACCCCCTTGGCCAATGACCCAGCATGCTTCAAACTCACACGGTATAAAGACCGGCTCGCCTCTCGCAACTGGTGGTTGTTCCGCCCCCCCCCCCCCCCGGCTATTTCAGGACAGCAGGTTAACACGGTTTTATCCGGACGTGTGCAGACATGGGGTCCATACCCAGTGGGTGTATTCTTACCTCTTAAAAACACAACTTCTCAACTTTTCGGGTAACATGGGCAAGAAGTGTCTGTAAAAGATTTTAACCTCCCCAGGGCAAAAGGAGGGAGTTTTAAGGGGTCAATACGAGGGTGCCCCTTTTGGGGCTGGTAGCTCCGTCCCAAGAAATTTTCGCCCGGCTATGCAGAAATTCGCCGCTCCGCCGAGGACGCAGAGCCACGGCGCGCAGGTGGCTGAGAGTTGGGATCGCCAGCAGCTGGGCGCCTGCATGCTGCGCTTCATGGGCCCGCCGTGCGCTCGGCACGCGCTCGTGCGCTTGTATTTTTTTTTTTATTTTTCTCTTTTTGGTGTTTTGGTTGTTTTTTGGTTGTGTTTGGGTTGTTTGGTTGTTGTTTGATTGTTTCTTGGTTGTTGTTTGATTGTTTCTTGGTTGTTTTTTGATTGTTTTTTGGTTGTTTGTTGGTTGTTTGTTGGTTGTTTTTTGGTTGTTTTGTGGTTGTTTTGTGGTTGTATTTTGGTTGTTTTTTGGTTGTTGTTTTTTGGTCCCCCTCTTTTTTTTTCTGGACGTGATGGGTTGAAAGGTTTTGGGATAGCTTGATTTATGGCATGGGTTTGGGATAGGTTTGGGATAGGTTTGCGCTTTGCGTGTTTTTTCGCCGGGAGGCGTTGGAAGGTTGGGATGGGTTTATGGCAGTATCTGGGGTTGAGGTTTCAGGGTCCGTCCCTTGGTAGCTTCCTCTTTCCTGTTTAATCCCCCCGTTTGGTGGGATTTAATCTGTCACATTGAAAGAAGGCCTTTGTATTGAAGCGTCTGACCATATGCTGTAGCACCAACGGGTCTCACCAAGCAGACCTAGGTTAAAGCAATATGTCACGGGCATATCTTCTCAAATATCCTTCCCAAAACTTGTTTGCCGAGGGCTGCTGGCACGCTGGCGCTCGCAGCGCGCCTGGCCCACAAGGAGGAGGGTTCGGACTCTGAGGAGGCCGGGAGAGCGGTTTGCATGTGGAGTTTTGTGTGTTTTTGTTGTGGGTACCCATTTTAAGGCTGTTATATATCTATATATATATATACATACGACGCAAGCCGTAGTCGGTGGTTTGTTTTGAGGGCCACATTTTGGGACGGCTTTTCAAGAAACCCCAAACGACAACTGGCCCATGGGCGCTTTAGGCGTGCGCGCTTTTGAAGGCTACCCTGTTCAGGGTTTCCCTGAGTGGGTTTTTAATTGGTGCTGAGGCATTTGAACCCCCGCCCTCTTGCAGAGAGGCAAATGGGCAACTGCCCCCTTAACTTCCAAACCACCAATCCAAACAACCAATTCGAGGGAAGCTGATGCTAGGAGGCGGTTTTGAAGGGAACCACAGGACACTTCATTTTTGGAATCCCCTGCTCAAATAAGGCACCCGTGAAAAAGGGTTCCTGGAAGATTAGTTTCTGCTAGGGACTCCCTGTAAGGTGCCATACTAGAGAAGGGAGAGTACTAATCGTGTACTCCTGCAATCGTGACACTGAATCTGGTATTAACGCCCGCCACAACCCCACTCCAATGATGGCATGGCCCTTATGCCAAACCAAAAGTGCTTGGACCCTCGAAATGTCCACAACATGATATCAACCCCATACTTTTGGGGCAGTGTCCATGTTCAATGGGATTTCTGGACCTGCAAGCCACCGTAATTGGATATCGCCGCAACAGGGGAGTTCCCTTTTGTGTGTGGTAATACACTGGGCTACAGTATTTGGAAATAAAGTACCGCAAACCCCCATTCTGATTCAGTATTTATCCCCATTTCAGAGTCCAGGTGCCCATTTTTGTTGGAGGATCACCCAGAGTCACTGAGCCCAGTTGAAAATCGGATATCGCCTCGACATGTAAGAGAGATTCCCCCTTTTTACGGTGGTTTGTTTGTCCAGGCATCAGGTGATACGTGTGGGGGGTGCGAGGAGCGACAGTCTGCAGAGCTCCAGACCTTGCGAGCCCGCCCCTCTGCTGAACAAGAGCTGGCCCCACTGACACAGACGGTGAGGGGGGCAAAGCGAAAAGCAAAGCTGTTATGTGGTTGAACATAAGTGACGCCAAAAAGTCTCACCCCAAAAGGTCATGGACCACAAAAAGGGAAGTGGAGGGAGGGGTGGGAAAAGTCTGGGCAAATCGCCTGGGTAGATGAAGTCCCAACCGTAAATGGGTGCCTTCGCCGCCGTAATTTCTTACATGGTTCTGTGATTGGACCAATGCATGATTTGTTCCAGGTGTTGTTTGCGACTCTAGATGCAACGAAGTGTGAACTGGCGGTTGCCCGGCCCTGGACATCAGGCAGTCTCTTTGGAGCCAGAAGGTAGACTGAAGCTGCGAAGAATGGGACCCCGACATGTCACCCGTACCCCACCTCAGTGATGTCCACCAACCCAGGTTGGGGCGGGCCCATATGTGGATGCGCTCATATGGTTCACTTCCAGCACATTTCAAGCAGGGAATTAGAAGCCTTGCAAATTCGCGCATGCAGCTACAAAAGGCTTGCTGGTTGGATGTGGCTGGAATTTCCACTTGCTTTGCATGTAGGCAAGCCACCGTACCAGGGGTGGGGTTGTCTATCGGAAACCTACATCTCGGGACTTCGCCGAATCCGCTTTTTTTGTCAAAGGCTGACTTTATACAATTCGGTTGCAATGACTCTTGGCATCGGTGTTTTTCAACATGGGGGTCCATTTCCTAAATGGTTGTTGTTGTGGTCCCCATAAAAAGTACCAACCAACAGGGGGTCCACCATTTTGGGAAACTTAACCATCTGAATCAATATATGAGCCACTGAAAAATTCATGTCCCCAACTGGTATGGGTGTAGGGTGAGTCCCCGTTTCCCGTGTCCATGACACTCCCTTTACTACCATGGATTGCAGTAAATACTGACCATTGATCATATTAGCCAAAACCAGCCTTGTCCATTTGAGTAGGGGGTTCTACTACCTGGCTTTGTGAAGGTCGTAGCAAGGCCTCCATAAACCTTTATAGACATGGATAGAAGCAAACGTCAATGGGCTTTTGGCGCTCATCTGATTTCTGGGCGAAGCCGAGCGAGGATGTGTCAGCCAATACCTCGACTTTCAGCTGGACCCTGAACTTCCCGGCAGCGAGGCAAGTCCTTGCAATGCTTGGGCCGTGGCGAGATCTGTTTGTCCTCGAGTTCTTGAGTCCTTTGGGAAAGTTAGTAAGTGGTTAGCCACTCGGGCTGTAACCGACTCATGAATGGCGAATATCCCACTTCGGGGAACTCAGTGGGTCAAGGTCTACGCCGAAGACTTAGATATATGGTTTGGGTTTGGCATCTCTTTGAGTTCGGCAAGCATGGAGCCCGGCGACAAAAATGCAGGGCTAGATACTTGGATGGTCAACACCTTCTTCCATTTGCGTAATAATATGTTCTTTTTCACCTGTTGGTTTTAAACGGAATCTATCACTAGTGGAGCTATTTTTCCAGGGGACTTAAGCAAATGGAAGCGCTTTCTTCGCAGCTGGATGAAGCCCGATCTGAATGGTTGATAGACCACCTGCCAACAGGACTTTGCGCATCAGTAATTTCCAGCTGGCTGCTTTGACGTGCAAGACTGCTAGCTCCAGTGCGTCACATCAACATCAAAGGGCTAAAGGATTGACATGTACCTCAAGAGTGCCCCTGGTTCCAAACTTATGAATCATCCATACACGATGCAAAGTTTGTTATATAATATTATATATATATATATACTCTCCGGTGAAAGTCGGTGCGTTTGCGTCCAACTTCGTGTGCCACGCAGGGTACTGATTCAGGAAGTCGGTGCGGGCTTGCGTCCTGGTGGGGGTGTACATATGGGGGTTGATCAAAAGGTCCTTGCAAGGCGTTAGGGGTCTGCAAATATGTAAGTGCACAGGCATGCCTCCAAGAATTCAACGCGGAATCTTTCGCGAAAAAATAAGCTTCTTTCGCGAACTCCATCGCCGATCTTTCGCGGAGGGATTTAAGCCAAGACGAATGGTCACCGAATGCGATTGATTCCCTGCCTGTGTTGGGAATGGTGCAAATCAATAACGTTGGCTGGGCTATTTTGGAGCAAGTTTCGCGAAAGATCCGCAAAGACCGGCGAAAGGCCAGGCAGCTTGTTGCAAGGTTCCGCACGTCGCCGGCAAGCGCAAGTGGCAAGGGCGAATGACGGTGACTGCTTGCACAAGTGAACTGCGGCTACCGTGTTTTCAAGCATAACTGCAGCAGCCACAATGGCTCCAGAGCGCACGCTGCAAGCAAAAGGGCGTGGCGATGGAGTCGCGAAAGATTCAAAAATATTGATCAACTGCCACATGTATATATATATATTCTGGTTACCGTTGAACTCGATTTCCATGCCGCAAGATTTTGTGTGAGCAGACTTCTTGTTGTCATACCATTGGGATTTTTTGGCGAGCTTAGAGTGCCGGTTTGGAGCGCGGCGTTGCACCCAACTCTAGAAGGCGTTGTTGAACGTTAAGGGCCGGTCAGCTTCACACATGGGAGTTGGGTTCTCCTTGTTCAGCTTTGCGCCAGTAGGATTTGATTTAGTAGAGGTCACAGGCTAAGCCTTTGCTGACGATGCAAGTGCTACCCCACCCCTCCTTTCCCCCACCCCCACACAGCCAAGGGTCTGGTGTGTATGACGCGCCCATTTTTTGCATGGCCTTAGTCTTTGGACCTTGTTCGGGCCTCGTTTAGACCTCGTTAAGACCTCGTTTTGACCCCGTTAACGTCACGTGAAACTGAAGAGAAAACATACGTAGCCTCATAGAGCGCCAAACAAGGGCCCAGCAAGGCCATAGTCTGGAGGATTTGGGAGGTATAAGCGCCAACCCAACCAACCCTTCGGCTCCCCGTGTCGGAGCAGCTGGGTTGGTTCTTGGTAACTGGTCTGCAGGTGTTTGTTGTTTTTCATTTTGGTATTCAATTACATGGTGCAAACATCGATATCATATTTGCGACAGGGTCATTGTATGTTAGTAAAAGAATGTAACGCACACATTGAGTTGCTATAAAAGTAACAATTACTAAAGCAAACATGGTATGGGTTGATTCGCAAAACACCGTGAGTTCATTGTTCATGGTCTTGGTTCACTTGAACGAATGTTTTGAATACTGTTGTTCGCCTAAAACCGGGTGAACAAAAAGCAACACAAGGTTTTGTGGCTGAATGGTCCCGAGTGGGCTTAAGTACCTAAGGATGGCTTTAGGATTAAAGGGGTTAAAGTTCTTTGGGTGCCTAGGGCTGAAGGGTCCTTGTACTTGCTGGTCAGGGAATGAGAATTGGAATGAGCAAAAGAAAAACCATCCAACTGGTTTCCTTTCTTCGGGGACCCCAAAACGGTTTTTACCCCAAGCAAAGCCTGTTTTTTGGGGTTTCCTTTCAAGGACCACTAGGTTTATTCCAACTCCTTTCCTACTTCTCGCACGAAAGCGCGTTGGATTTCGTGGAATCCAGGCGGCGGCGAAATGCATCACGGAGCTGCCGGAGGCTACCACTGCTGAGCTTTTCGGATGCCACCCCCGCGAGGCGCGCGTGAGATGCCGGGGTGTGGCCGCGTCTTGCCAAGGGTGGGGTTTAAAGGGGGTTAAAGGTTTAAAGGGTGGCTGCCATGTTTGGAGCCCGATTTCCATTATAAACCCAGGTGAGCCTTCGGTGAACATCATTTTGGTGAGGACTCACCAACCACTTTCCAGCTGGTTAAGTGCCCGTTTTGCCGTTTCGGGTTTCCTACGTGTTGATGTTTACTCACAAACATGTTAACTTTTCGGGGTGTTCGTGTCTCGCCAAGATTAGTTGTTAATGAAATGCCTGGCGTAAATGGATAGCCACCTACTCACTTACCAACGGATCGCATATGAGCAGAATGGAGGTGTCCAATCACCTGCCAGATATATAGGTGTGCCTTAAAATCAGCCCCGAAAATGGTGAGTTCCCTGAAAACGGCACCCTCGTACAAGACACACCCATATTCCCCGAAAGGACATGTTTAGTATATATCCATTACCCCGTCCCCCAAGTAGTGCCCTGTTCCCCGTATTGGGGGAGGGTTCTCCTACTATTCTAGACTACAGAAAAAAAAGGTACCCTCATTCTAACCTCTCTACTGGAGGACCTAGATTATATAGTGGCTACATCGTTCCCCTATTTCCTCTTGGGGGTGGTGGCTTGGGGTACTAGTTACACTTGTACTTTCTTGACCTCGTCCACTAGTGGATGGTTTTTGTCAGATCAATTACCAGAATGGTGTTCCAAATTCTGGTGACTGGCAACATTGGGGGCGAAAAGGGTCCAGCATGTGACAAAAAGGAAAATCATGGATGATGGAGTCTGCCCCCCCCCCCCCACACACACACACACATCATACATTGTCGGGCAGAGTGAATATGAATCAGAGTTAGCTTGTATTTCCTTTCCCCAAGTAATACATGAACCCTATTGATATTGGTTGTGTTTTTGCAGACCCCGAAATCGCCCAGTACTAAATTAGATTTTGCCAATACTGAGCCAATAAACTTCTAGATTTCACGCCGACCCTAGCTGCCGTCACGCCAGCACGAGACCACACTGAACTATCACTAAACCAATGCAAGACGAAGCACCTCCAAAACAAAGCAAATATTGACATGGCACATATGAGCTTCCATGTTAGGACTAAGCGATACTGCTGATTAAAAAGAGCTCGTTTGGAGCACATTGTGCTTGCTGCAGACACATCTGTGAGCCGACCGAAGTTTACTAAAAGGGTACATTTCTGCCCCTAATGGGCGTCACTGCAGTCCTTTGGCCAGATGTCATCTGACCAAAGGACTGCAGAGGGGCAGAAATGTACCCTTAAGTAGTAAACATCGGTCGGCTCACAGACGAACATATGTATTACGGGAGGGGGGAAGGCTGTATGTATGCAGATTAGTTGGGTCTACTAAATTTCAGTTGACATCCTTAACACTACCCTCGGCATGGTGGCCTAACAGGAAACTGCCCAGAAGATACGGGGAGAACCCCTCAATATGTTCACTTTCGGCTGGGTGCTAGATATCTGGCCCATGTTTGATTCATCTGCTTCTTCCCACGTCCAAGATCCCATGCACTGTCCAAAACGCAGTGGTTCGGACCCGGGTGCAGTTTTTTGTTCAATTTTTGCACCCAGGGGCTCCTGGTGCTTTCAATAGACCCAGACCCCTCCATATGGAGGGGTCAAACAAAATTCTCGGCTGTGTGAGGGCCGTCAATCGAATTGGAGCCGGGCAGCCGTCCCTTCGCAGCCAGTAAGATCCTCTTTCTTTCAGGACAAAGCGCTGGATGCGAAGAGGAGCGACCAGGTCTTGTCCCTCCTGGCGGCGCTGAGGCTGGCTGAAGAAAACGGAAATTTATCCAGCGGGTTGGCTCGTTTGATCATTTCTCGGGGAAGGGGGAAGCTGAAGACAAAAAGGTGGAACGTTTTTTTTTTTTTTTTCTACTGGAGGTTGTAGTGCAAGTGGCTTGTTCAATTGGTTTGCCTCCATGCCAGACCTCCGGCAGCAAACTACTGCGATTTGATGGTTGTCGAATTGCAAATTCTGAGCCCACCATATTTGCCATTCGAAGTCTAAAGTGTTTTCAGGTTGTTTCCCTACCTGTGACTTTCGGTTGATGATTCGATGATGTCCTGAGTGTTCCAGAAGGGGATTCACGCTTCCACATCCCCCCGCACCCGCTGTGTACATGTTGGAAAGATTCGCATGCCCTTGTTTGCCTATACTTGGGGCGGTGGCGGGGGGGATCCACATCCATTCAAGTGACTTGTTTGCGAATGTCCCACGTTCTCCCTGCATGGTTTCGGATTCCAACCAGATTTTAAGCTTTGTCCAACCGATGAAAGCGCAAAAGTGGGTCTTGGAAGACGAAGTAGCAAAGAAGGTACGAATATTTGGTTGCCCATCCCGGCTCATTTTTAGGATTTCTTGGTACCTTGTGCAGATGTACAAAATGACCCCTTGAAAGACCCCCTCAAGTCCCTTGGCGTATACCCAGTGGATTCCAGTTGCCAGCCATGTTCCTTGTCAAAGGGTGGCTCTATCACACTTCCTGAGTTCATGAACTTTAAGCCTTCTTGGGAAGGCAATTTGAGTGGTAAATACCAAGTTTGGACTTATTGTTGGGCCATCCACAGGTGCGCTATTGGTATTAGGCTACAAGGAATTGGAATCTTCATGTAAGACTCGTTGACCATAGGCTCGCTCGCGCCTCGCGACTCGGCACATCTTTTTTTGGCTGCCAGGCCAGCTGCTGAGGCTCGAAAGGGAGACTGCCTGACCAGTCCTTAAATGGGCATGGGTCAAAATTAAACCACCAGGAATTGGACCGCAGGTTTTAATTCGGCCAAGCCATTTTGCGTACATGTTTTTTGACCCACAGCCAAATGTCCAAAGTTGGACGCTTGTTGTGGGTGAAGGTGTTCACCATTTGAGTAAATTCCCAAACATGTGTGGGCCAGCCGCCTGGGAAGGGCAGGTCAGTTTCCGAATTGGGATTGGGAGGGGGGAATATTACAGATTTTTCGTAAAGGAGACCAACAGGGGATGGACATCTTACTAGAACATAATCCCAGTTGAGCATCTTCTTTCGGTTGCTTTTTTGATATTGCCTTCCCCAAGGATCGATGTCAAGGGGATCTGTAGGCTTGACATGCTAACTTGCGGCCGTCATCGCCTGATGTCGGAAGTCAAGGGATCAACAATGTGCCCCGCACCAGTCTGACTGAGTCTGATGCATCCAAGGCAAGCACATCCCTTCTGCAGTGGTTTCCTTGAAGCTGCACATGGAAGCGTCGGGACGTGAGTGAGCCTTTTCAACTCTTGTGCACCTTCCTCGGGACTCTGAGGTGTGTGTATTTCATCCTCTCTTTCCGAGGTTCTTCATTTCAAGGCAACCTGACCGAAGGAATCTCAAGCGAATGCAAACTGCAAAAGAAGCCCAGTGACCCGCCATCCGCCTCTGGGCCCGTCGTGGTTACCTAAGGGCCTGCTTAGAGCTGGGGCGTTCCCTTGGGCTGTGGATGCTTAAGCGAAGCCAAACAAGACTAGTCAACTTAAGCTAAGCCCAACCCCGCCAAAACCGAAAATCAACCCTAGACAAACCTAAATCAACCCTAAACCAACCCTAAATGCACCTAGACCTCTGGACCAACCACCAGCCCTACACCAACCCGAAAGCAACCTAAATCAACCCCAAACGAATCCTAAACCAACCCTAGCCATACCAAATCCAACCCTGAACTAACCCTAACCCCACCAGAACCGACCTTGAACCAACCCTGAATCAACCTAAGCCAACGCCAAAGCCACTTCAAGCAACCACAATGCAACACATCCTAGCAGAAGGCGTGCACTCCCATGAAGACGGGCTGCCGGAGTGATTGCAAAACCCGAACAATGATGTCAACAAGCCCATGTTGTATCAAGGTTCAGCTTTTCAGGTTTCGAGCAACAACGAGCCAATGAGACACGTGTTTCAGTGTGCCTCGGTGCCCGAAGTTGGGGTGCGAAACATGGGTGTGGGTCAAAATTAAACCACCAAGGGACCGCAGGTTTTGGTCCATGTTGCCACTTACCAGGGTTCCATTTTGGGTACCTATTTTTAACCCACGGCCACATGAGGCAACAGGAGAAACCGGGCGTTTTGAAACGCCATGCTAGTAATACCAACCAGCCTACGCGTCCTCCTGAGAGGGTATTTTCAGCACTTAGGACTCCCAAATCCAGTCCTCAAACCGTACACACTGACTGGGAAGCTCAGGGGGCCCGTTCAGCTGGTTCAAACACATGAGTTCTGAAGCACCAGAAGAGCATTTGTGGCATCCTAAAGCAACTCAATTTGGCAGAACTGATTCCAACGGGTGGCCCCAAAAAAATTGGGCCAAGAACTTCCAGAGTTTTCGTTCGGACCTTTGGGGGCCTTTGGCTTTGGAGGGGATTTTTTTGGGGGGGAGCTTTGAGAACCCACTGAGCCTTGGTTGGGGACCTTTGGGGAGGAGTCGGGGGTGGGGGGGGTTGACCTTGCTTCGCATCTCCATCGAATCGGAGGCAGGTGCCAGCGACATCCAGCAGCTCTTTAAGGCACAGGGCGAAATGGATTCTCAACTAGGTCCCCCAGTAGTGCCCTTTTACCGTTTCTTTTTTGGTTGGGAGGGTTCCCCTACCAAAAACGACTAGAGAAAAAAGGGTACCCTTATTGTAATCTCTCTACTGGAGGACCTAGTCAAAATAGGCGTCCTGTTTTTAGATGACAAAGAAGCCAACAGGAAGCCACTCACCTGAAAAAATCCCAAAGTTTACGAGAAACACCCAAAGTATGAGTGAGTGTGGACCCTTTGGTGGACTTCACTTACCCGGGGCAGTCCTGTCCACCACCCACCTTGAGGGGGGTTCCCTATGCTTTGTTCAAACAAACCTGCCCCGGCCCAAACCAACCGGAGGCTTGAACAGACTGGGCCAACACCCCGAAGCCTTCCTATGTTCCAGGCCAGGATATTTTTTTTTGTTCTCCCCTGTGTAGTGTCTTGCTTCCCGAGTTCCCGGACTTTAGTCGCTTTTTGGGTTTGGACGTGGTGGTAATCATAAATGGGTGCGGATTTATTTTGGGATTTTTTTTCGTTTTTTTTTGGGATTTTTTTTCGTTTTTCGTCCGGGCCAGCAAAATGTCGTATTTTACAGCATTTTCTCGCGAAATTGACGCATTTTACACTAGCTCGTCAACATCCCCAGCATCGTTTTCAACATCCCCCGCATGTCCGACCAACATCCCTAGCATCACCAACAAATCGTGGGTAACAAAATCCAAAAATGTAGCTGGCGGGTTGACGGGGTCAAAACAATAACGCTTCAAACAGGAGGGCATTTCAATCCCAGCAAAAAAAATACCAAAAAACAATTAAGAAAAACAGAGCGGGGTAGTGATGATTCGAACAGGGGTGCAATTAAATCTCTGCAAAAAGTCTAAAAAGTAGCGGGGGGGTTGGGGGGGGCGGCAGCCCCCCCCATGATGTTCGAAGAATTGATGATTCAACTAGGGGTGCAATTAATTAAATCTCTGTAGAAAATCTAAAACGTAGCGGGGGGGTTGGGGGGGGGCGGCAGCCCCCCCATGATGTCGGAAGAAGTGGTGATTCAAGTAGGGGTGCAATGATTCAAGAAAGGGTGTGATAGAATTTAACAGGCAGCGGGAGGGTTGGCGGGGGTGGCTTCCCCTATGATGTTCGAAGAAATGCATACATACAGACATACACGGACTACACAGATTACCTAAAATGTCGTATTTTGCAGCATTTTCTCGCGAAATTGGACGCTCGAAAAAGTGATGATTCAAACAGGGGTGCAATTCAATCTCTGCCGGGCCAGTAAAGTGTCGTATTTTACAGCATGTTCTCGCGAAATATACCCGCATGTCCCACCAACATCCCTAGCATCACCAACAAATCGTGTGACGGGGTCAAAGAAATGATGATTCAAGTAGGAGGGCATGTCAATCCCTGTAAAAAATACATAAAAAGTAGCGGGGGGGTTGGGGGGGGCGGCAGCCCCCCCCACGATGTTGTTTGCAGAAGTGATGATTTGAATAGGGGTGCAATTAAATCTCTGCAAAAAGTCTAAAAAGTAGCGGGGGGGTTGGGAGGGGCGGCAGCCCCCCCCCATGATGTTCGAAGAATTGATGATTCAACTAGGGGTGCATCTCTGTAGAAAATCTAAACGTAGCGGGGGGGTTGGGGGGGGCGGCAGCCCCCCCCATGATGTCGGAAGAAGTGGTGATTCAAGTAGGGGTGCAATGATTCAAGAAAGGGTGTGATAGAATTTACAAGGCAGCGGGAGGGTTGGCGGGGGTGGCTTCCCCTATGATGTTCGAAGAAATGCATACATACAAACATACACGGACTACACAGATTACCTAAAAAGTCGTATTTTGCAGCATTTTCTCGCGAAATTGGACGCTCGAAAAAGTGATGATTCAAACAGGGGTGCAATTCAATCTCTGCCGGGCCAGTAAAGTGTCGTATTTTACAGCATGTTCTCGCGAAATATACCCCGCATGTCCCACCAACATCCCTAGCATCACCAACAAATCGTGTGACGGGGTCAAAGAAATGATGATTCAAGTAGGAGGCCATGTCAATCCCTGTAAAAAATATATAAAAAGTAGCGGGGGGGTTGGGGGGGGGGCGGCAGCCCCCCCCACGATGTTGCTTGCAGAAGCGATGATTTGAATAGGGGTGCAATTAAATCTCTGCAAAAAGTCTAAAAAGTAGCGGGGGGGTTAAGGCCGCCCCCCCATGATGGTCGAAGAATTGATGATTCAACTAGGGGTGCAACCCCCCCATGATGTTCGAAGAATTGATGATTCAAGTAGGGGTGCAACTAATTAAATCTCTGCAGAAAATCTAAAACGTAGCGGGGGGGTTGGGGGGGGCGGCAGCCCCCCCCATGATGTCGGAAAAAAGCCACCTGCCGAGAAGGAACTGGGAATGCAGAGGATGCGAAAAGCCAAAAAGCCACCAAAAGCCGCATAAACCAGCAAAAAGCCGAAAAGCCTAGAAGCCCAGAAGCCGAGAAGCCGAGAAGCCAAGAAGCCGAAAAGCCAAGAAGCCAAGAAGCCAAGAAGCCAAGAAGCCAAGAAGCCAAAAAGCCAAGAAGCCCAGAAGCCGAGAAGCCGAGAAGCCAAGAAGCCAAGAAGCCGAGAAGCCAAGAAGCCGAGAAGCCAAGAAGCCAAGAAGCCAAGAAGCCAAGAAGCCAAGAAGCCAAGAAGCCAAAAGCGAAGAAGCCAAAAGCGAAAACAAATCCCAAAAAAAAACGAAAAAAATTCCTAAAATAAATACCCCTCCATCATAAATTTGGGGACTCTTTTTTTGGCCCCTCCACTCAGGAAGCGAGCCAAACTCAACCTTACGTCCAACATGGCCCATGGTTGCCAGAGATAAGTTTGTGTTGGAGGGTCTCTTGGCCGGGAGTTTGAACATCGCTGACTGTCCATTGGTGTGCCTTGCTCGGGGAATGTTGAAAAGGGTTCCTTACAGGTGCCTGCCTGTGGGAAGCGCTCTCAAAGAGGCCACCGAATTGTGTTGGGAATGCAAGAAGGGCCATGCTGACACGGCGTTATATGTTCATGTACCTTCAGAGGGGGTTGATATATACTATATATATATATATATGTACTATCATGTATGTGTGTATATGGGTCTGTGTTTTTTTACCGTGTCAGTTCTTTAGTCTTCGTGGGAGGTGGGGCTTGGGCGAGCCATACCCCCGAATCATACCCCGAACCATACCCCCGAGCCATACCCCGAGTCATACCCCTTAAAAAACACAAAAAAAGAACTTGCAAGAACTGTGGCATTTGCATGTTGACATGTCCACTCACACACTCACTGGTTACTCGTGGGGGGCCATTTTGGCTCAAGTGGTGTTCCTTGACACTCGGCTCGGTCTCGGCTTGCTATTTTCAATGGAAAGTGCCAATGGATGGAGTTATAGAGCAATCCTGCGGATGTCCTGGTACTAGAGTTGTCTGTAGCATCCGTGGTGCTGTGGCGGGGGCGCAGCTTGACGTAAGACGCTGGGACTTGCAGGGCGCTGTGGCAGGGGTGCCGCTGCTGAGCTTGAAACTTGGAGCTTGCTTCCTGCAGTCTGTCCGACGCGGTGGAAACAGCTGTCTGTCCTGGGCCACTGTCGCAGTGAAACACAAGCTGTCTTTGTGCTCCTGAGGTACTCTTGGTGTCTTTCCGGTCGAAAAAAATCTGTCCCCCGATTCATACCCCCGATTCATACCCGATTCATACCCGATTCATACCCCGATTCATACCCTTCTGCTGCCATTTGCAGCCAAGAGCCTCTTGCGCTCTGGGCAGTACTAGCGAAGCTATGCCGCCCAAATCCTGAGAAGACACAAAACTCAAAGAGAAGCACTGCAGGAACCAGCTCGCCGCTTTTTTTGCAGAAGTGCGCCAGAAGGTGGGTTCGGAAGGCTTACTGCGATGTATCAAGCGCGACACGGTACACCACCTGTGAGACGGCCACTAGCCTCTGCGCGGCTGCCGTTTGAGGATGTCACGCTGTATTGCCCTTACGCTGGTTCGTGACTGGTGCAGGTGGCGGACTGGGCAGCGGCGCTTCCCCTTAAGCAACGCTTGCTTGGGTCTGTGAGCACGTGGGTCGCTTGAACTCCAAGTGGAGGTGGCCATGACGTTCGCCTCAGGCAGTGGCTCTGCGCCTTCCACCTGGCGCAGAAGCTTTCGCTAACCCACTCACGCAGAGTGGCAGCTGTCTAGTTCAGGCCACTCACAAGCGCCCCAGGCTGGCTTGTAGCAACTAAGCGGTCCAAATTCTCACGGCTATCCAGTTGCCAGCGCACGGGAGCTTTGCAGTGTCCAAAGCCTTCAGAGGTGCGCGAGCCATACCCCGATTCATACCCCCGAGCCATACCCCGAACCATACCTGCGATTCATACCCCTTATACCAACCTCCCGGCACGGCCACGTCAAAAAAACACATACCCATATATATATATATGTACTTGGGTATCTCAGACCCTAGGTGGGTACCCCCAGTTTAAATGCATGTGTCTTAACATAGACCCCTTAACATGATGGGTGCTCAACAGTTGTTCCTTTAGTGTTCAATTGAAGCCCCTAAAGGAGTACCGAGCCTCAAGCACACCACGTGGGTTTTGTGCGGAGATCGCATCGCCAGGTTGAGGACCTGTTGTCGGAGCTTCCCGTCTTCAACCCCGCCTTGGACCAGGAGATATTAGTTTTTGTTGTTTTCTTTTTCTCCTGCATTGGGCGAGAGTTTTTTTCTTTAAGCGTAAAATTAAAACGACGCCTATGCTTATGTAAGCCATGGTTGGGTTTTTGGATTGGTGGTTTTGGATTTGGAATTTGCTTCGCCGGCTTTTGGGGATAAATGAGACACCAGGCTCCCACCCACCAACTAGGGGAAGCTGTTTTTTGGGAGAACACCCCACAACCATGTGAACGCATGACTGAAACTTAAGGGTGGGTCTGCCATTTTTGGAGTTGGTACCTGTTTTGTCTCACTTCCTGAGTTCATGAACTTTAGACTTTTTGGGAAGAACATTTTAGTGATAAATATAAAGTTTGAACTTTTTTGGGCCATCCACTCAGCCAGTGAGTTGTTGGTGGGTTTTAAGGGGGAAAGCAAAAAGGGACGCCGAAGCCAATTGGGACGCCCGAAGCCGCGTTTCATTTTTGTTGCCCCCGTCCAGGAGATCCAGGTGTCCCCTCGGGGCAAGCGAAGCCTGGAGCGCCGGAAGGCGAGAGAAGGGTCGCCTTGTTCAGGGCTCCTCAAAAGATACATTTTGCAACCATTTGAAACATGTGGCTTTTTCAACACCAAAATAGAGCGAAACCACCATTTACAAGTCATATAATGTAAGGATCTGTGTTGGGGTTGGTCGAAAGGGAAACCAACAGGAAACAAGCGTCATGTTGGGTGACCCTATCTTGAGAACCCATATGGCTGTAGCCATTTCAAAAGGGGTTTCCCCTGGTGGACACAGATTGCCAAATGGTGTCCGGAGGGTCCCACCCATATTTGATGTTTAAGACTGTCCATTTGGGCCAAGGTAAAGCGATCTTCTTATGGTGTGATGCTTATGGAGTATGCACCTGCAATCCCACCAAACCAGGTGCCTTGCTCAGTGGCGGGTATCCAGGATGGCCCTTTTTCGGTTGCCATGCTGGTTTCTGCTGTTTACCTTCCGCAGGAGCCTGTGACTATCTCAAGGCAGATTTTCAACAGATACGGAACCTTCCCGGATTCCCGGAGCCTGGGAGACTCACTAAATGTCTCACAGAAACCACAGTGTATTTCATGTGTGCGTGTGTTTTTCTTCGTTGGTCATTGCTGTTGGCTGGTTCACACAAACTGCTTTTTCCCCAGAAGCGAAAACCCCACTCCCCACCCCTTTAGCTTCGATCTATGTTAGCCCTCACGGCTTCATGGGAACAGGGAATGAGGGGATGACCCTTGAGGTCTCTTCAAAGGCGTCGCTGGGTTCATTCTGAAAAGAGGACTTGCTTCTTGATCCCCAACCTGTATGTTGGGCCCGCAAGAAGTTCTTCCGAACGAGTTCGGGCTTGGAACAACAGGGTTCCTGTTCCGAAACTACTCAAACGCTTCCTCAGAAGCATGTCGTGCACAAATCCCTTGTGGCGTATGGCGTACTATTCCCCAAGGGGGCCCGGTGCGTTTGGGGGGTCCGGGACCCAACGGTGTCAAGGCTTTTCGGACAGGGTTTCCTCTATTTTCTTCTAAACGTCACACCACCAAAATGAACATCCTCAAACGGCAAATAATCATTTGTAGTTGTGTCTTTCGATTGCATTTCACGTGTTTTCTTAACGAACAACAAAAAAACCTCAGGACTGCGTGGGTTGATTGCAACGGCCGGATTTTGCGTGCAGTCCGCCATACAAAGCCACCTACGTGTTGCTGCTTCCCAGGCATGGTGAGCGGCTCTTCAGTGCATGGTGCAGCTGTCTTCGCCTGATTTTGCCCGCAAAACGCCACCAAAAACCTGCAAACCGCCAGCAAAACCCCCCAAACACCTGCAAACTCTGACAACTGGTATTTGTGTGTTGTTGGGGAGCTGTTTGAACACGAGCACAATCATCTATGCACATTGGCATCATCAGCAGTGACAACAGTGCCCTTCTCTCTACACAAACGCCGGTTTGTTGAACAGAACGACAAGTTATCCCCAGAAATGGCTCACTCGCCAAGTATTTCTACGCACCGCCTAAGAATTCAAAACACCCAATTGTTCTATGTCACTTGAGGGTCAAGGTCACTCTAAATGGCCCCCAAAAGTTGATGGTGGGGTTGATCAAAAGGTCTAAAACGATGATAAATGGGAAAAGTTCCCCATGATCATTATTTGGGGACCGAACGGAATATTGACAACCCCCCTGTTCAGTCCATCCAAAAGGGAAACTATAGGGAATTTTGTTGGATGAGTCGCAGCTGCCAGGAAGCGACAGACCCGCTGCTGGCACAGGTGCTGCGTCAGGAGAGAGCGAATTCCGCAGAGGCTCCGTCTCCGCTGGCCGGTTGCAGACAACCAACATGAGTTTGGGAGCCGTTTCTGGGCAGGTGTTGAAACTGAAGGAAAACGTAGAAGGTGGCGCTTCTCCGATTTTGGTCAGCCCCTAGTCAACACTCAGCTTCCGAATTCACTTGTTTGTGATTGCTTGCTTTCATGACCATTTGCTGACTAACAGCATCTCTGCAGAGAACGGCACAACAAGCGAAAGCAGACACAGGGCGCAATGTTGGTTTCTCTCCTTTCAGCCAACGAAGACTTTGGTGCCTTTCCCTAAGGGTCCAAGTGCCTTCTGAGGAGGTACTTTAACCCCCTTTAAACACTCCAAAACCCTCAGGTGCTCAAACTAAGTACCCTTTTAATACCCCAAGAGCCCTAGATACTTAACCCCAAACCCTTCGAGGTAATTTACCCCCCTTTGAGGTACTTGCACCCGCGCCTGGAATTTTCTCACGTTTGGGACTTCCCCCGACTTCTCGGCTCGAGGAGCTCTTCTCGCTGCGCGAGCTGCTGGCGAAGTTGCGCCGGGACTTGCGGCGCCTGCACGAGATGATGCCGGGGTCCTCAGTGGCCATGTGGAAAGCAGACACGGATGGGGGTGTTTCTCGAAAATGGGGATCCCGGTTTTGGATGGTTTAAGGGGAAAACCAAAGGACATCAACTCCTGATGGGGTTCAGTTATTATCAGTACAACAATGAGGGTTGATGGAACCATTGTGTGCCTAAGAATGGTCATCATCCAAATTGGGTCCTTGCCATTCTTTTTAGTGGGGGTACCCTTGGGCTCACAGATGGGTGTTTCTCAAAATAAGGGGTCCCGGTATTGGATGGCTTAATGGGAAAGCCAGCGGACATCAACCCTCCTGAAGGGGTCCCTATTTTTTTTCAGAAACATATTTGCATTTTTTGGGGTGGGGGGGAATGCTGGCTATCTTCTGGGAACCCGAAACAGTTTCGGAAAGGCAGGAGCCAAAGGAGCGATGGAGGGCAGGGAGGAAGTTTTGAAAAGACTTCGAACGCCATCCCGCCCCGTTTGCAGGGAATTCTACCCCTAGCAATGCGACGCAATGACGCAATTGGCAAACCGACCGTTCCTTGCATGCTGAGCCAGAAAAAAGCCGGGACACAAGCCAAAGCGACCCTTCTCTCGGCCAAAGCGACGCGGTTTCCATGGTCAAGTTGTTTTTTTGAGGTCATGGTCCTGATCCCCTCAAAATGAAACCTTGGAAATGCTTGTCTAATTTCGTAGAAGGTCCATGACAACAGTTCTCACCCGGGCCAGGCACTCGCAACAGGGTTCCCTTTTTGCCCCTTGTCTGAGGAATCCCTGTTTGGCTAATAGGCAGGTGACTTCCCCTTGGTGACGATGGGGTTTGCCCCTTTTTGGTTTCAATGTCGCCCTTTTGGCCAATAGGTGAGTTCCCCCTGGTGATGGGGAAATATTTCTCGGTGGCTCCCAGCCATCCGGTTCCTTCGCTTTTTAGCCTTTTAGTGATTTTAGTGTTTAGTGGTTGGATTTCCATTTCGCCCACTAAAAGTTAGTCACTTTTAGCGGTGGATCTGAAAACGGACAGCCCAGATCTTGAGGCCTCCCGGAGCATAGGTGTCCTTTTTGGTTGGTTTGCTTAAAAAATGGAGGGCCCTGGTTTAGATGGGGTTTATTCCATTTACCAGGGAAGCCCATCTATTATTCTTTAAGTGGCCACCTATGGATGGAAACACTTATATTTTTCCGGACTCCCGGCGCTCGCAGTCCGTTTCGACCTCGAGGGGTTTTTCTGAGGTCCGCCAAGCTGCAGCTCAGCGAGGACATGCAGGAGGCGCTTTGGGGCCCGGGCAAACGCTCCAATTCCATGGCCCAGAGCGATTTTCATCCTGAAACGAGCTTCAGTTCCCCCTTTTTGGTTCATTTTTGGCGGCCCAAATGGCGATCAGCTTTTCTGGATCCTTTGGGCAAGTGAGATTCTTTCTCTTCAATCCTTGTGCTCAGAATAGGGTCCTGTTTTACTGGTGTGCAACACAGAAGTCCGTAATTTTGAGAAACACGCCCGTCGGCGGTGGTTTTAAAATGAATTAAGCCTCCCCGCCTTTTGACAGCCCAACATGTCATTTGGTCAAACTACTCCATCATTTGGGCCCAAAATCCATCGGGATCCTTAGGGCGGAGGACTGAGGACCGATGTTTGAGATGTTTAATTTTTGATGCTGGCAAACGTTGCCAGCCCCGTGAGCTAGTGCCGCAGTTGCCGGGAATTGTTTGGCCAGCTTCAGCTCGTTTAGCTCTCTGAAGCCGTATCTGAGCGGGGTAGAACCCCAACACCCCACTCTGCGCGTCGTAGAATTTTTGGTTTCCAAATACACTGTTGGTTCTACATGAACTTCCAAAGTCTTGGTTTCCAAACACCCCAAATTCCACGTTGATTCCCTGGTGTCCTGGCTCTCCCAACTACCCACCTTCAACTTCCAAGTCGATTTCATGCTTGTTTCGTGGTGCGCCGTCGCCATAAGCTTGAAAGGGGTAGCCAACCAGGCGCCCCGGTTCCCCGAAGCGAAGCGAGACACTCGCCTCAGCTCCTGGACCACATCCTCGCCAACTCCATGCCCGACACCTGGCGCCGCATCAGCTTCCCCAGCGCGAGGCGGGAAGGAAGAAACGTGCGCCGTGAATGGAACAACGGGCGGTGTTCCCGAAACTTTGCCCCTTGGTTTCACGGATTTGCCAACAGGGAGACTTTTATATATATATATATATAGAGAAATTTTCCCAAGAGGAAACCAAAATGAGACGGGTATGTTCGCAAAACAACATCCGCACACCGTATGTAGCACCCAGCGCAAAACGCGTAGACATGTTTGTAGCAACCTCAATGTGGGGTTGCAACCTCACTCATCATGCATGTTCCCCATAGAGAAATACCTATTTTCCTGGGAAGGTTGGCCAGGTTGGTGATTTAGTTTCACGCTTCGAGTGTTTCCAGTTATCAGGATAGCATGCAACTCTGCAGAAACATCATTTCACCTTCCAGCAGCCAGTTCTTGCTTACTTACTACAGTGGTGGCTGAAAGCAGGCCGATTTCTCTTTGATTCAAACCAATCCCAATAAGTGGAGCATGAAACACATATTTTCGCTTGTCTATCTTGGCTGGGGGAGGGAGCGCCCTGTCCTTGTGGGGAACTGCGACTTTTTGTTTGTTGCTCTGCATCTCGCTCCTGTCATGCCTCGAACAAAAAAAAGCGCTTTTGGCGGACCCTTCTGCTATGGTGCCATGTCAATCCTAGCATCCCCATGTACGTGAGATATACACGCGCATGCAGACCTTCCTACTGTTGGTGTGTTTGTTTCTGTCACAGTTGAAGGGACCCTAGCACCCACCCTTGTTACTCTCATTCCAGGAGCAGAGTTCACACTTTCTCAGTGGGTGCCCATCTGCTCTGTACATTTCGGAGAAAGATCCTTTGGAATGTGTGTAAGGAAAAGCCACATCGCACCCAGAAAGGACTTCCTGGCTCAGACCAAATGGTCAGGCGATGAACAGGGTTCCCCTGGCATTTATTCAACCACATGGTCTCATATGGGTGTTTCTCACAAAAAAAGAACAAGAAACTTCAGGTAGAACAGGTAGCACAGATGTGGAGATTTCAGAAAGTTGATGACAGGTTCCATGTAACTCCGGCTTGGGGTCTCTAGAGGCCATGGAGTCAGAACATCTATGTACCCCGTTTCTGGGCGAAGGTCGGAGCTGAAGCTCTGGGCCTATGACTCCAGATATGGGGCTGTGGTTCAAAAACGTTTTGGGATATCCCATTTTGGGGTTTTCGGTGAATTCACCCATTTTGGAACCTATTTTAGTGGCTGGATTGGGATGTGACTGGGGGTACGATTTGAATTTTGGATATTGACCCATGGCCATATTACCATCGGTTCATCCTTGGGTCCTGGGCTGGCTGAGAGAGGGACCCCAAAGCGAAGCCGTTGCCATGCGGCTAGGCACTTGGAGACACCCCGAGTCTTGTCCAACCTAGGATTGGTTGTGTGAAGACACCAAAAATGGCAACGGTTTCCTTTGGTGTCCCTTTTAACTAACCCCAACAAAACGGGCACCCGAAAACAAACGCCACCCCATTTGGATATCAATCTTTGCAGCCTTTCTCGGGGGGGCACCTGGACCCTCAAAATTCCCTTAAGCATGGGTTATCGCCCTAAAAATATGCTTAGCGAGTTCCCTTTTCGTGGGTAGTTTGAGGGTTCAGGTCCCTGCAAGAAGGAAACCAAATAGGGGGCCATTCCAATTCTCCTTCCCCTCTGGAGCCGGCCAGTAGGTAGGTACACGCTCAATTAACATGGAACCTGGCAGAGAAATGGCTGTGGGTCAAAACCAGGTACAAACAAAATGGAAGCCTGGTAAGTGGGCACCTGCACTGAAACCTGCAAGTTCCAGGTGCTTTGATGTTGACCCACACCCAAGTGGTCCCTTCAGAAGGAACACGGCCTTCCCCACCCCCCACCCCCCCGGAACGTCAGGTTTCAGGTGAAAAGGCGAGGGTACCCGCAACCAGCGCCGAGCTACGACGTTTGAGTCGGCAGGCCATTGGCCTCATGGGCCTTCAGCCTCAAGATGCGACTGCAGCCACTTGGAATCGATGGGGATCTGAACATGTTCTTAGTTGCCCAAAGCCGACCTGTTGACAATTTGGTTTTCCCGTTTTGGTCCATTTTTAGTCATGGCCGCAAAAGGTTAACCTTTTGTTTCCAGGTCCTTTGGGCAACTGAGTGTTGGGTGTGTCCTTTTTGGTAGAACTTCCCGGAAAATTGTGGTGTTCCTTGTGGTTTCCCTTTAAGAACGCAAAGGAAGTACCCTGAACAAGAACGACGCACCCATATGTCCATTTGCATTTCAGGTCTGTTTCTTAATTTGCGGGGTTTAAGGGACCTGTCCACTGGAACTAGGTTCATTTTTACAGTGGACGTATTCGCAAATTTAAATGGAGGCTTTTTGTCCAAGGTCGAAGCCCATCCCCCTCCTGGCTGTCTAAAGGTTCCAGGGAAGCCAAACGGACAATTCTCATTTGGGGGGTCCCCTAAAAAAGACACGCCGATTTGATTTACGCATCACCAACTGGGGGTCGCTTTAGTGAGCTTTCTCTTGGTCGATGTTTAAAGGGATAAATGGAGAGCTGTCGGTCGATTTCGGGGTTGCGAAAAGGGCGGGATGGATCCGGGGAAGTGTTTAATGGAGGTCAGTGGTTCGTGTTTTGGTTTTGAATAGTCTGTGGGTCCAAATGGGTCTCCAAAATGGATTCCTGGTAAATGGACCCAAGGACTAAAACCTGCGGTCCAATTCCTGGTGGTGACTCATTTAGCCCCATGCCCAATGTCTTCATATGCCCAGGTGGCCGCGGAGGCCGCACATTTTGAATGGTTGTTTGGCAGTCTTCTTAGTTGATATCTTTCAAGGGTTATCATTTAGTATTAGTAATATCAGTATTTGCGAGTTGCTGAGTTGGTGATTACAGGTTCAGCATACCAGAATCCCTGAGTTGCCGCGGGGCAGTGCGGGGAATTGCGTGCAGGTGCATGGAATCCGAGGTCGTTCGACATTCTGACAACTGATCCAAGAAAAGATGCCTAGGTGACTGGCGAGCAAAGTTGCTTGAGTCAGCCTTGTTTGTTTTTCCAAAGACATCCCTTTTGAAACAAATGCCTGGGAGAAATCACATGAGGGCCCAAGTAATCAGAAACATGTTTGCTTCTATGATGATGACTGAGCTTGTTGTTCAAGTAACATACAATTCCGTTCATTTATAGTAGATGGCCTGGATGAACAACGCGTCTGCACAATGAGAGAAACCAAAGCCTGGAGACTCATCGCCGTCTTTCTGTTCGCTTGTCGAACACGGTCACGTCAGCGGGTCCAGTCCCGTGGAGGTTCACCCAGACCTCCAGCGGGTGGCTTCCTTGGCTTGCACGCCTTTTGGGGTGTTCCCTTTAAAGTCAACCCTACCAAACAAAGTTCGCCTGTTTACGCAATGTCCACTGAGGGTTTGGCTGAACTTGTTGGGATGATCTTCTAGTACTTTTGGAGGACCATTTTATGGGCAAACAAGAAGCTTGGACTTGGGTGCCAATCTACCCAGGAAGTGAGGGTATCAAGGGACCCTAGGGTTGCGGTACCAACCGCTTTTCTCACACATCGGCTACGCCATACTCGTCCTATATCTGAACTAGCTTGCCACTTGCCACTAGGTTACTTGCTCGGTTGCTAAGCGCTTGCCACCCGGCCACTAAGCTCTTAACAAGGGCCACGCCAAACGGCCCAGCGGGTCGATCCCACTCCTTGCCAGGTGGCTGGAAGCGGCCTGGTCGGAGATGCAGGCCCGCAACGAGCCGCCCGAGAGCCCAGATGAACAGGTACTAGGTCCCCCAGTAGTGCCCTTTTGCCCTTTTTTGGGGGAGGGTTCCCCTACAACAGAAAAAAGGGTACCCGTATTCTAGGCTCTCTACTGGAGGACCTAGGGTACAGTTGATCCGGAGGCCTGCACGAATCTCCCCAGAACAGAGTCTATTTTAGGGGTTCCTCTGACCACAAGTCCAAAATCCGAGGTTATGACTTGAGTTTTATTATTGCCAAGTTAGTTGCCCCGTACTGCACACACAAGCTCCCCCAAGTGGGGCTAACCTTGTTGTTAGTAGGTGAGCTCACTCCCTGAGTTTAGGGCTTTTGACTTTTTGGATACACCGTTTTAGTGCTAAATAAAGAAACAAGTTCAGACGTTGTTTGTCCAGTTCAAATAGGAAGTGAGTTATAACCCAAGGTAACCACTTGATAATTTGGGCGCGCGGTTGCCTATTCCTGTGTACTGGGTTTGCTTTCCCGCTGGTTCGATGGAATCCAGCGAAAAAAGGTAGCAACGTTTGACAGGGAATTCTAGCGGCTGTCAGAGATTGCCAGGATACGTCTCCGTTTAGTGGAGGTCTGAGAGTAAATAGGTGGGTTCTACAACCCATGTGGCCGGCCACCTATCAACTTCGCAATGATTGTTGGCTTGCTTGTTTGTTTGTCAGTCTTTCCGTGTCTGTTTGTCTGTCTGTCTCTCTGTGTGTCTGCTTGTTTGTTTGTTTGTTTGTTTGCTTGTTCTGGTTTGGTATGTCCCAAATTAGGGGGACCCCCCCAAACAAATAATGTGGTTTTGCGTTTGGCTTACCTTTAAACCAACCTGAAAAGGGCGCCCAAAACAACCACACCCCACCCCAAAGTGGTGGTTTTCCCTTTAGCTTGCCTTGTAAACCAAACCCTTTTCAGCTGACTATACGATCCAGCAATCTGCGCGGCCAGAAGCTTAGAGCCTTTGTCTAACACGCAGCTCTCGAGTTTTGGGTCACCCTTTATCCACCGCACCCCTCCCCCAACTGGTGGTTTTCCTCTTAGCTTTCCTTGTAACCAAACCCGAAAGGGGTCCACCGCTGCAGAGGTTCTGCTGGCGGCTGGACCTCTTTTGGCGCCCGCAGCAGCTGCTGCTCAGCTCCCTGCGCAGCTTCTGCTCGCAGAAGCTGCTGCCACTGGCGCAGTGCAGCTTCCGCCACAAGGCCCTCGCGCGTTTTTTCGCGCGCTCGTTTCGGGGTGTTTTTGAGCCCCCTCCCTCTTTTTTGAACAAACGGTTGATTGGTGTGAGTGGGGTCAACAGTACTCCCAACCACTCCCACCCTCTAAACCGCCAAGATCCAGCCACTGCCAGCTTTGAGGGCCCCCAGTTTTATGTGCGCCCAAGACCGTTGGGGTCGGAGTTTGTTGCTTTCACCATGGGTTGTACTCTCATGACAGTTTGAAGCAGATCCCGGATCCCGCTTGTTATCACAGAAAGGGCCATACTTAATTAATTACAGTCCTCCAAATTGGACATACCCCACCTATAAAGGGATGGATTTTGGGCTACCCTGTATACCCCATGCATAACCACTTATTTCGGTTAGGTCCATTTGGGGTATGCAATGTGGCCCTCAGAAACTTGGCGTGTTTAAACAATACTCGCTGGATGAAAGCGATGCCCCAAAGCCGGCAGTCAAGCAATGTAGAGTGCCTTTCACTAGCCGCAGTCAGAGAAACGAAGGAACAAGGATTATTCTAGCGGTTGATTCCCCATTCTTTTCAACAATCGTTCTTTTCAAAACCGGCTGTTTCCCCTGGGTTGTTGATGGTTTCCTGAAAAGCAGGATCCCTGGAAAGAATGGGGAAGGTACCCCTAGATATTGGCTGGAACCCGTTAAAAGAAGCACTAACCCATCCCACGGAGCCAGTCACCACAGGTGGCAAACATGTGAAACTCGAAAGTAAAACCTGGCGGATAGCGGAAGCCTTTCCAGTTTTATGTGTTGTTGTTTTTTTGTCATGTGGTTTACTAATCCTCGCTTTGAGGTCTGTGTAGCCCTAGACACAAAGACCCTGTTCGTTTGCTGTAAGAGTGGTGTGGTGCGGAAACAAAGGCTTTCAGTTTCGACTTGTTGGCGTTGTGCATACTAATCTTTGTACAAAAGTAATATTGAGCTCAGTTCATCATGTTAGAGTTGTCACACATGACCAAGCAGGACTATGCCTCCCGCTATGTCCTTGCAAACAAAATACAGGGCCGAGATCGATGCCTGTGCATGTGCGTGTTTGGGAGGCTGGCAAGGGGACCCCATGAGTAATCAACATCGAGTGAGGTTTACTAGGAGATCAAATCCGAATCACATTGTTTTGGGGGAACACCCCGAAGGACATTTGAATGGCTTAAGCATATGATGAGTCAACCCTAGTGATGTTGACAGGATGCTGCTGAAGCATGGAACTCCCAAAAGTGTCCTCCCAAAGGAACTTTCCTGGGCGCATGTTGGTCTACATGTGAACTGGGTGCAAAATAGCCATAGGGCGTGTTTCATCGTAAAAAAGAACCCCCTTAAGGGGATGGCTCATTCATGAACTCATTCTAGTTCCCCCTGACCCTCTATTCAGCATGCAGTCAATCTGGAGACCCATGTTTGGGGGCGAGGGGCTTGCTTGTTATGGACTTTTTTTTGTTGTGTGTCATAATCGCTAAAGCGAATGCAACTTGGATCGCGGGGGGGGGGGGCTTTGGCATCCAACCCACCATAGCAACCCCAGTTTATTTGGGGTCCAACCACTGTTGGAGGGGCCCCCCACTCCCCGGCTGGTTGAGTGATATGGGGTCATCATTTGACCCCCATCCATAGGAGCCTTTGCATGGTTGTTGTTGGGAAACAGTCTTTACATGTTGCTTATTGTGGTTTAGTGGTTGCAATCCAAATCCACTTAGCTCCTAGGATTCAAATTCTTGCTCCCAAGGTCAACCAAGCTTCGGGGGTTCACAGCGCCTGGGATTCGATCGCTGGAAGGTCCTGGCTCATCTCACTGAGGAGGAGGATGTGCAGGCGCGCGACCCCCTTGGCTGAAATGAACATCGCGGAAAGTATCGCGGAGTCGGGGAGTGTCCTGACCTTCCATTTGGGTGTGGCTCAAAATTTAAGGGCTGGGGTTACGCAGGTTTTGGTCTTTGTTTCCACCCAAGGGGCCCAAAAATGGGTTCCACTTAGCCATTTGTTTGAAAGAATATATTGTTGTTTTTCCCCTTGTTGGTTTTACAGGGAATCTATCACTGCTGGACATATTCTTACATTTTCCAGGGGTCTTAAGCAAATGGAAGGTTACATCCACCAAGTTGCCCCGATCTCAGAATCCAAACCCACGTGATCTCAGTTGGTGGCCCAAACAGATGTACCCAAAATGGGATGGCAAAGTGGGAAACATACGGCATCCTTGCTCTTGAATTTTCAGCCACACCCATATACCTGGAGTCTCCATGACCCTTGAAAAATGGGGTCATAACCCAAAATAAAGGGGTCATGGACCCATTTTTTAAGGGTCATGGAGACTCCAGGTAGTTTCCTCAGAGAGGTCGTGGCTTTGTTGGGAAATGCGTCTCGCCAACGCCGAACTCGCCAGAGGCGAGTGTTGGAACATGGCACACGGCAGCTTCTTTCTGTGATTCTCCGATAGGCGAGAAAGTAGTCAAAATCGTGGGAATCTCACTGATCGGTACGACATAAACCGGAATCCATTTCTTTGAAGGCGGCAATCAAAGGGCCCGCTTCTGCCACTTGACGTTGCATGCGAGCCCAAATGACAAATACTTGGCAGAAAAAGGGGTTGTGATGGTTGCGACTCAAGTTAGGGGCAGAAAGAATCAGACCCACATGGTTCCCTTGTGGGGGACTCTTGTTGTTGTGTCCTTGCAACAAGGGCCCATGAAAGAGGTTTGATCTTCATGGTTGTTGGGAAACAGTCTTTACATTTTTGCTTATTGTGGTTTAGTGGTTGAGATCAAAATCCACTTAACTGCTAGAACTTGAGCATTGTTGCTCCCCAAACCCAACGTGAAGCAAGACTTTAGACAGAGCCAGTTGGAGACTTTTGCTCACGGAAAAAAACACCAGAAAATCAAAGGTGTGAAGACATTTTTGTTGGCGAAGGCTCCATGTGAAGTGACGAATTTTTGGGGACACTTTCTCCTCTCTTATTTAAAAAAAAAAAAACACGCAACAAGGAGCAAACGGGCAAATTTGCCGCCTTCCAAGCACCAGCCAGGTCGAAGATTCCCCAAGTCTGGACAGGAATCAACGCAATATGATTGGTCGGGCAAAAAAGCTGTGGTAACAACGAGGCCGCGTCCTATACAAAAGAGGCGTCCCCTTCTTGAGGCACATCGGTCAGGAAGATACAGGGTTTGCCTCAGTTGTTTGTTTTTTATTTGGCACACCCACAGGACATCGACTGGGTGTATGCGTTTTTGAGGCTCAGTATCCCCTTGGGGTTGGATTCAAAGGAAACCACAGGGCAACTTCCTTGCTTTTTGTGGGGTAGTTATGGTAGTTGTCAGAATAAGAACCTGCACATAGGTTGTACAACACCCCTTCAGAGCCTTAGTTCCTGATGCCCACGGAGTGGTTCTGGCTCCCGTAGCTTCATCTCGGATCTCCTCCCAAGCCATTCTCTATTTTCGCCCAAATATGAAATAGAATCAGAAAGCCTGAAACCATTGATTTGTTTGTTGCTCAAAGATGCATCAGAAAATCGGAACGCCATTTTTTGACGCTCAAATATGAATCAGAAAATCGGAAGTCCATTTTGTTTCTTCGGGATTTGTGGGGTGGGTGCGGATGTGTGCTGGTAGGACCGGCCCAGCAGCGGTCTCTACATCTGCGGCCCCTTTTTACGCGGTGCCTCCTGGGACCGGCGCCGTGGCGCGCTGGCAGCGCCCTCAAACACCTTGGCAAAGAGGTGTTCCTCACCCTGGGAATTTCCTGACCCTGGGAGTAGTATGGTTTGGTCGGGTTTGGTAGTAGTAAAACATAGGTTAAGTAGTAGGTTTGGTAGTAGGGGGAAAACATGTTTGGTAGCAGGTTTTGTAGTGTATAGTTTTTGGTAGCAGTTCCCTCCATTAAAGTACTAGTTGGGTTCTTATTATATCCAAATTGTTGAAACCATAATATAACCTACGGTTCAGACCAGAATACTTCATATAACCACCGAGCATGACCCATAGTTTGCCCTCAAGGTTGTCATCCAAATTGGGTCCTTGCCATTCTTTTCATGGGAATCGGTTGAACCCTCGCGCTTCATCAGCCAGCCCGTTCCCGGCCATTCTTACATGCTCGTTACGAGAAAGCCTGAGAGAAGGGAACCGACCAAGGGAAGCCATGGTTCGCCGTCCGGTTAAGGTTGGGTTTGTAGGCATGTTTCATAGGTTTAGGGTTTGGGGTGTCCGAGGTTCCGAAGTTCACCACCAAGTGAGACGTTTATCAGTGAGGTACACAAGGGGGCGTTTTCTCAGGCGAACCTCCGTTCTCCGATTTTGAGGACACTGGTTTGAGGAATGTGGGAATTCTCCGCTTAAGTTGGGTGCAGTCATTCAGTCATTCTTGTTACTTTGCGGATTACCATGACATCCACCCAAAAAAATACGCACCATCTTTGAGACTACTCTCCTCTGGGCCAAAGGACGCGTTGGGTTCCATGTGCAGGTGAGTAAGATTTGAAGTGGAATTGAATGGATCGCCTTCGCAGATTGGAAGGTCATGGCGTACTGGAAGAGACTTCTCACTGAGCTTTGGACTTTCTACGATGTTCGTTCCCAAGTTAGTCTGTGGTTGGTAACCTGGGCCAAAAGCCCAGTGGCAGGGTTAACTCGACTGAATGGCCTATATTCCACTGCAAGATACTTGGCCAAACACCCAAGTGGACTTTCTACTTTTCAGGAAGACCATGAATTTTGTTTGGCAAACCATTCACGAGACCTGGATGGGGGTCAGAGCCCATGTCATTCTCACTCTTTGGACCAAACTCGGGGAGTTCGGTGGTTGCTAGAGATGGGTGTTTCTCAAAATAGTGGTTGTTTCCTGCTGGCTTCCCTTTAAACACCAACCAAACGGGTCCACCTTTATGGAAGTTCCTTATGTCAGCTTGGTGAATCATCACCACCTTAGACATACTACCTCAGACATTGGGAGACACACACACGCACATACCCCCTTAAAGTGGAATTGGGGGAGGGGATGACCATTGGAATTTCATTTGTTTGGGTTGTTCAAAGGTAGTCCTAAATCCATACCTTGGGTTACGAAAGGGGGTCCCATTCCAGTCATTTTCCAAAACAGTAGATTGGCCAACCCCCATTTACACAGCCCTGCTTATGGTTCTACTTTCCTGTTTGTACAGGAGAAATTGAGCTGCGGGACCTCTCCCCTGACAGTAGCTTAAAGTAGATGGCACAATTCCACAGCTAGTCGCCCCCTTTGCTTACCCACATCTAGCGCAAATCGAGCCACCTGCTTGCACCCTAGTGTAACTTTCATTTGCTTAAGAAGAAGTGCGATTTTTCCTGTTTAAAGGGAATCTATCAATACTGGCAATCCTGGAAATGTGTTTTTCCCAGCGGACTTGGGCAAATGGAGGGGAAAAGTAGGGGGGGCAGACCCATCTTGAACTCAAGGTGGACGGCAAAATGGACGAGTTCTTCTACCGCATGCCAGTGATGCACTTCATCCCTACGAAGGACCGTCGTGTGTCGTATTTTGCGTTGGCCCCCTCCATTTTTGTCGGGTTGTACCTGGAAACCAGAACCCAGACATGTTTTGGGCCATGATTTTGAGACAAACGCAGTTGGGCGTGTCATTGCTTGGGCGGTTGAAAAGGAATGCAAAGAGAAGCCAGCCGTTTAAGCGTTCTTCTATTGGGAGACGTTGTGACGTTGTGTCTCTCCCGTGTGTTGGTTTTTTGAAATTCAATATCATTTTGTGTGGGTGTGCGCGTGTTTGTTTTCACAAGTAGCCTGTGTGTGGTTATTTTCAAGGAACAAGAGGCACACCGAGCCACATTTGTTGTGTTCCGCATCCTTTTTGGAGACAAGCTCAGATCAGCGAGGGAACAGAACGGAGTCAATCAAGCTGACCCTGCTAATAGGGTGGCGAAACCCCACAAACATGAAGGATTCTTCTCACTACAAGGAGCCCTCAAACAGTATCCAGCACCCACCCAGTTTAGTCATGGCCACTTTCAGCGGTGAGTTTCCCAAAGTGCAGAGGGTTGCCTCGCCCCGACAGATCGATCGGTGCCTGGCCTGAGTCGCTTTTTGTTTGGTAAGTCTAATGTGACTTGGAATTGCGTGGCTTCCCCGACTCCTGTCAAATCTAGCTCCCCCAGTAGTGCCCTTTTTCCGCTTCTCTTTTTGGGGAGGATTCCCCTACTAAAATAGACTACAGAAGAAAAAGGGTACGCTTATTCTAACCTCTCTGCTGGAGGACCTACAAATCATGCCCTCAAAAAGAAGAGAGGGAAGCCACCCATTTTGGGGCGGCTCATTTTGGATGCCCCCTCTGCTCAGTTTACAAGCTTTCAGCCTTTTGGTCTTTGGCCAACTCTTCTCAGGTTTGCTACGTACCTCTTTCAAAGTGTTGGCTACAGCTTATTTTGGACTACCTCTTTTCAGGGAGAAGGTGCTGCGTCCTTTGGGCAAGTTGAGGTTTGTCGCCAGGTGTCTCTTTGTTTGAGCAAAGGCCCATCAGTGGTTCTCCAGGAAAAGGGCCATCGATTCCATGGCAACATGGATGGGAGGGGCCATTGTAAACCTGCCGTTGACCAACGACCCTTTGAGGTGAAGGGTACTCACTTGGGAGACATGTTGCCCTCCACACATCGACATTTCCCTTGGCACTAAGCGAACATGTGGGCAACATCCGGTACTCGCCATCTACTGTAGTACACGCACCAAATTGCCACTAGAAAATTGAGGTTGCTCATTAAATTCCAATGTGCTGATTGACAAGGTCCACTTCGCAGCAGTTGGTCGCAGTTTGATCTCAGTATCTTAGGTCGCTGGTGCAGGAATTTGTCTATCCACAGTGTTGCAGACCTTTTTGCAGATGTCATGGTTGTTGTTGGGAAGCATTTTGCATTTTTGCTAATTGTGGTCTAGTGGTTGAACTCCAACCACTGAAAGAAAAACAAACACATGTTTTGCTCCCCTTCCAGCGTCAACCCAGATGTTAGGCTCCTGCCTGGTGTCCAAACCAGACGCCGGAAGCCACGAAGCCCAAGCCAGGACCAGCGGCAGCTGCGGAACCGGTGTCCAGTGCCTTTCTTTCAGGCGGATGTCCGGTTCGAGCGAGTTGGGGCTTTAGGCAAACCAAGGGAAGGTTGGGGGGAGGTTGGGGGAGGTTGGGTGTTGGAGGGGGAGGTTGGGTGTTGGGGGGGGAGGTTGGGTGTGGGGGGGGGAGGTTGGGTGTGGGGGGGGAAGGTTGGGGGTTGTGGGGGGAGGTTGTGGGGGGGGGGAGGTTGGGGGCAGGTTGCGGGGGGGGAGGTTGTGGGGGGAGGTTGGGGAGTTTGTGGGGGGGAGGTTGTGGGGGGAGGTGGTGGGGAGGGGAGGGGAGGTTGGGGGGAGGGGGGGGGAGGGGAGGTTTGGGGGGGAGGTTGGGGGCAGGGGGGAGGGGAGGTTTGGGGGGGAGGTTGGGGGCAGGGGGAGGGGAGGTTTGGGGGGGAGGTTGGGGGCAGGGGGGAGGGGAGGTTTGGGGGGGAGGTTGGGGGTTGGGGGGGTTGGGAGAGGGGATCCGGGACTTCCGCCAAAAGTCGTGGAAAAGGAACGGAACCAAGACCTGGGTGTTTGTTTCAGGAAAGCCTGTTCGCCGCAAGTCTCCTCCAAGACAACGTATGGGCGTGTCTCACAATTGGGCCCCCCCTCCCCACCCAGAAAAGGTTGTCCTTTTGGTTTCCTATAGACACCAAGTACCCTCAAAACAACACTTCTCCACCCCCCACCACATGTTTGGGTCCCATGAGTCTTCTTTGGACCCTTTAAAACATGCAAGGAAGGGTCCTGGCGAGACTCCAGGTAGACCAACTATGAAGGCCACCACATGGTCTGCTGATTCTACTTACGAATCTGAGGGCCACCATATGGTCTACTAACATCCATGTAGACCAATATAACAGTAGTTTTTGTCCACCAGAGGTAGGCCAAGATGCGGCTTGTATATAATTTGAGTGTCTTTGCGTGGCAGTTTTTTTGGTTCTGCCAACTACAATGATTTGGCTGGCTCTTGCGGACGAGCAAGCGGACGTTGCTGCGAGAGGCTATGTTTACCCCAAATCAATCAGGACATAATTGGGGGGGAGAACATATTAATGTCGACCTTACATTATTTTTTGGACTCAGTTTATTAATATGGGGGTGTCCCTGGGTGTAGTGGGAAATCATCACTTTTGGAGGGGAATACCCCCCTATTAATAAACTGGGGTTGATTCCTATGGGGATATATGGGGTCACCATTGGGGGGCTCCCCAGGGTTTTCCCGTCTTTTCGGGCCACAGAAGGCACCCAGGCGCGTGGCTGGTCCATCTAGTGTGACCCCGAAGCCCCGATCTGTTGGAGACCATTGGCCGGTCCATTTAAATGGGCATTGGGTAACCAGGGGAACCGCAGGTTTTTATGCTTTCCATTTATCAGCGTTCCATTTTAGGTAATTGTTGACCCACACCAAGGGTCTAACAACGCGGGAGGGAGGGCGGGAGGGGCAGGGGCAATAGGAGCAACCCAGTTGAAGCCTTGGAAGCTACCACCTGGGGAGGACGGGGCCGGCCATGTCGGGTGAAGGGCCGACCAGGCCGATCGCGGGCCCTGGAAGAGCAATGGCCGGGATGCGAACTTCATCGCCCAGGCGTGTGGGCCAAACAAAATCCTCAAAGAACCCCAAAACGTGGTTCCCAGCCATCCGGCCCTTAGGGTTTCTAGGCTTTTTTAGTTGGTTCAGTGGGTGGGTTTCCGAGCGGGGGATCTGGGAGCAGCCCAGAAAATCATTGCCTGCTGAGTTGGCAAACTCCAAACTTGTTGCTCTCTCAATCGCCACGTGCGGAAACATAGCTAGGCTAAGCCGAACTATGATCCAGGGGACAAGAAGTGAGACGTAGCCAAGCGCCGATCGCATTGAAGCTACCAAACCCGAAGGGAACTACGGATAGTTCCGAGACAAAAGCGTCCGAAGACGCATGGAGGCGCGAATTAAACTTGTTTCTGGTGGGTCATGGTAGCAAAGCTTCGCACAGATAAGTTTTTGTTTTGGTCAACCCGGGTGTCTATTTAAATGGTTCTTTGGGTTCTGGAGAATAAGTTTGAGGCGATATCCCAAATGTTTAAGCTCTCGAGGGTGGACTTGAGGTACCTGAGCAGCGCCGAGAACAAAAAAAAAAAAAAAACATAAAAAAAGGAAAAACAACTCATTGGCCACACACACATCATCAGGTTTTTGGCGCTCAGGGCAGATCATGTTCGTAGAAACTCAAGTCAGGGAATACTTGTTCTGACCTATCCACTTCCCATCTGTACCCTTCTAAAGATGGACCTCGGGTCAAGTTGGGAGTTGGAAAGTATATTCTCACAAGGTACGTGGTGTTCCGTTTGATGGACCTTTGTCGGGCCTCCCACTTGGAGTAGTTTGGAGCGGGGGCCCAGGGTTCAGGAAGGGTGCACGGGGGTTGCAGTTGGGAATGCCATTTTAGCTTAGTTTGTCCAAGAGTCGGGCTGGTTTGGACGGAAAGCAACCGTTCTGGGGGGTCAACACCCAAAATTTGAGAAGCCCAAAGAGCGTAGGTGCGTATTTGTGGGTTAGTTTGGCTAGAACTAGATGGCACGGGGTTGGATTGGTTTTATTACCCATTCACCATCTATTTTACCAAAGGGACATGCCAGAGAGCGTACTGTTGCAATCGAAGTCTGGCCAAGCGACCGAGATGGGGAACGAGCCTGCCAGGTCTTTCTGCACGCAGCAGATCCCAACGACTGGCCCCTTGGCATCCAGTTGGTCCTTGTCTCTCTCTCTCTCTATTTTTTGTGGGCAAGCATTTGGAGTTCCCAAAATGAGTTTGAGGTCTGTGTGAATTCACTTTAAACCATCAGAGAGCCCAGTTGTGGTGGCCAGGGGGCAATTTTACCCGAAACATCACTTAGGTCCCCGTGTTTGCCAGAAAAATATGCTGGCGCCCCATTAACAAGACAAACACATCACTTCGAGAGGAACCAGCACCATCCAATTCAATCGCTCTCGGAACTAATGTCGACCCCGGATTCATATTATCCTGGCGGATGCATCGGCTGCAACCCCCCAGAGTGCAGGATTGCCTCCAACATGGGACATCCACTACTAGGTCCCCCGGTAGTGCCCTTTTACCCTTTTTGGGGGAGGGTTCCTTTACTAAAATAAACTACAGAAAAAAAGGGGTACCCTTATTCTAACCTCTCTACTGGAGGACCCAGACTAAGGGCTTTCCATTGCGCTTTTAACCTGGAAGGCACATGCCCCAAGAGGAGCGCGCACTTCCTCAGACTAAAAGCCGGAAGCTCCCAGAAAGCCTTCTGGGGTGGCCTGGGGGAGGGTTCTCGTTGAACCTGACCCTGTGCACTTTCGTGTTTGTCGGTTGACGGGTATCTGTTAAAGTTCATTTCGCCAGCAACTCAGAGATCCTGTTTTGGTGTCCCTGCGTCGCAAGACCCTGAACAGCTAGTTGTCAGAATGGGTGAGGTTGGTGTCCTTGTGGTTTTCCCTGCAGAACCAACCAAAACGGGGCCCCCAAAAAACAACGCACAAATGGGATCCAAAAAGGAATGAGCAAACCTTACAAGACTGCGAAGGGTGAGCTCACAGCAAGATGCTGGCGCCCCTCCCACAGCGCCAAAGAGCAGAACCAAAGTATAGTTTGATGAAAATCACGTGGGTTTAGAAAGCCGACACGGATTGACATGTATCACCACCGCCTCTGGGAAACTTGAGGTTCGATCAACATGTCGAGCAGTCGATCCATTTGAGCAAAGGCGGATTCAAACACCAGGCTTTTGAGCCCATTCAAAGTGAGTCTCCTGGACCTTGGGCCAACTTTGGGAGCCTTCGAACCTCGAAGACCTGACTCAAGGCCCAGGTCAAGACCGAAGCCCGCAGGGTCCAAGACGGAACGGGTTTCGAAGCCCGTGCCGGCGGCGTCTTTGGTCTGTGCTCGAATCCGCGAAACGGATTCGCCCGAAGATGTGTCCTCAAACCTGTGGGGCCCCCGATTTTCCGCTTTCAAGGCTTGTCTATCATATTTCAAGGCTCAAGGTAGCCTCCCACCAATGACCATGGAGCCTGACACGGAAGTGGCCCCTTTAAAAGGAGCATGGTCCAAACCAGGACCCCAAACGTCAGGTTCCACGTGAATTGGTGCCCGCGCTGAGGCTACTGAAAGGCGTGGCCCTCTTCTGCGAAGCCGCAAGCTAGCCGTGCGAGTCTCAGCTTCGCAGATCCGTGAAGGAAGGTGTTTGCTAAAGAAAGGGCCTGTTTGTCTTCTAGGTCCCCTAGTAGTGCCCTTTTACCCTTTTTTGGGGGAGGGTTCCTTTACTAAAATAGACTACAGAAAAAAGGGTACCCTTATTCTAGCCTCTCCACTGGAGGACCTAGTCTTGGTGGCTCCCAGCCCAGCCATCCGGTTCCTTAGCTTTTTCGATCTTTTTAGTGTTGGTTTAGGGGATCTGAGGACAGCCGAGTTGTATGTATGTTTGGTATGGTTGTACAGTCGCCGTTGGACGATTGTCGCAAACCCTGCGAAAGGCACGAATGTATAGGTGCCCTGGTCCCAACTCAAAGCTGATAGCAGCTAAGCAAACAACTGTTTTGTGCCCGTACAGGGACCCTGGAAAGCAGGTGAAGGCGCGTGCGCTTGTGTAAACACGGGCTCATCGTCTTATCATGCTTGTGAAAGTAAGCGCACAGGGGCCAGGAAAATATTCCATAAAGACATCTGTGAGTGGTTTGATTTGCCCCCAGCTAACCCCACTCTCAGAAACCATCACTGGGGTTACCATCCATTTGACGACCCCTTATTCTTGGGATTCTTGGTGTCCAAACTTGGGGGCCATTTCGCTTAGAGGACTCGTCCAATCAAACTAGTAAACGTTCATTTGCTATGAGTGACGGGACCAACAATAGTCGTGGTTTGAGCTGCATGCTCGAGTGCAACTAGATATTGCACGTAAACCAACCGCGAAACCACACAACTAAAGTTGTCCGGTGTTTCCACATATTATATATATACAGTCTACACACACATACATGGTTTCTAAATATGTTGTCTGCAGGGTGCTGCATGGCTACCTATGGGGGACTTTGCAACTGTATTCGCAACAAGAGCATCCAGCCACAACGCTCCCCTCCTTGCATTCCCCAAGGACTCCTTGGCACGTTGTGGGGATGTACCAACGGATCCCTGTTTTGACCTGTCAGGTCTTGAAGTCCACGGCGAGCTGAGCTAGAAAAACAAAATCAAAAAACAAACGCCAAAGCCATGATGGAAGTCTGCTACGTGAGAATCCCTCATATCGTGCTTTGAATTATTGCAAGCTTTGAAGATGAAACAAGTGGCAGGACTGGGATGTTCGGCCGGGCTACCAAGTGGTCAGCCACTTGGGCCACAACCTACTAGCGGGCTTAGTCCCAGAGACTGGTATGCGGGTTCTAACGTAGGTTCCCAACCCTTTGAAGGTGGGGAACCTGGGATCTCTTCGTGCACCGTAGGCGATGTCCGGCAACTGAGCCGCCCCATTGCTATCCGCGCGCGAGCGCGGATTCCTCGGAGTTGGGGATTCCAACCGCTCCAAAGCAGAGCGGAGCTCTGAAAGACTCAGAGCGGGTGATCCTGGACGTAGGATGTGCGCGTCGTTGGTTGGAGCATGTAGCGCAACCTGCCCCAAATGTGCAATATCGCGGGGAAGAAATGACATGGTCCGTGGGTCACACACACACAAACGCATGTCATATATATATATATATGTATCTACGCACATACATTCCCTGGCATACGCGTTGTTGGTTCAAAAGCGCGGCAAAGTCTTGGGGTAGTCGTTTCATTTCGCCAGACCATTTGTAGGGTCCAATTAGGGTCCTTGGAGGGTTCTGTCCCGACCCCACGGAGCAGGAGTGGTTTGCCTTGCGCCATGCATATGGTCGGATTCCTCTGATTGTCTTCCAGATTGAGAGTCTTGAGAATCGAGGAGCCAAGAATCAGCCTCGGGGTCCTCCCCGTCTGCCCCAAAAACCTGGGAATTGTACTTAGGGGTTAGACTTAATATGAAGCAGAATCGAAGAAGCATAGTTTTTGTGTACTCCAGATGTGCTGTCGGCCAAGGTAATAATGTTTAATAAGTGATACCCCTTTTCATGGCCCCGGTGGAGTTACATGAAACATTCGACCAGATCCTTAGTCCACTGATGGACCACTATGTACATAGCGTAGACAAAATGAGAAGAACAAATGATCGCTGCGCTTGCTGCCTGCTGGACGCTGTGAAGGGATGCAGTATTTTCTCAGGAAGACTTACCGTGACTTACCTGTTCACTGTTCAAGCCCCCAGAACCAACAAGTACTTGGGTATGTAAATCTTTGCTGAAAATACTACCCACTTGCTTATCTCTTCACTTTTCAATCTTCCAACTTGTTTGTTGGTCAATGTCTTCATAATGTCAGTAAATACGCCCATTTGTCGCCCTTGGATTTCGCCTGCTTGGTCTGCGTTTTGTCAATAATCCAACAGGCTGCCCCCGACAGATCAGCGGATGGCCAAAAACTCCACTTCCGAGCAAAGGAGCAAAATTGAGGTTTCCAATCACCAGCCTGTCTCGCTGTGACTCCCTGAGTTCATGGACTTTGTTTTCTTTTTGGAAAGACCATTTCAGTGCTAAATTACAAAAGTTCAGACTTTGTTTGGCCAATTCAATCCACTCGGAAGTGCGGTGTCGTGTTTTGGGGGACACGTCCCCCTGGTGTCAACGGCACGTGTCCGCCGAGTCGCCGAGTCGATGAGTTCCCCACGCAGGAGGGCGGACCCGTTGAGCTTCGACAGCCCCAACAAGAACACGGGCTCCGCCATGGATGACCTTGAGGCCTCTCCACATGGCTGTCAACACCGTTTTGGATCCCATTTTGGTTGGGATAGGTGAATTCACCACCCATTTTAGAACCTATTTGAGTGGTTGGATTGGGATGTTCACTGGAGGTTGACCCATGGCCACATGTCCGGTTTTTTTTTGGCCGAGTTTTTTGGCTGGGTATTTACTGGGACTGGGCGGTGTTCAACTGGATTTCCCGTTGCCGGTTTGAACCTCATCTTTTGAAGTTGCCACTCTATCCCCCAGCTAGGTGCCCTTTTACCGTTTCTTTTGTTGGGGAGGGTTCCTTTACTAAAGTAGACTACAGAAAAAAGGGTACCCTTATTCTAACCTCTCACTTCAGGAGTTTCCTTTTGAGTGTTTTTGGGGAGCCCTGCGTGTTTTGGACGCGTGGCCATGTTCTGTAACGATCGACAACTCATTTTGCACCCTGCAGTGCCCTCTGACCCCTCCCCCCCTGTAAGGCTTAGGGCCACTTTATGACCCTTCTTGAATGTGACAAACGTCAGGTGCCAAATAGCAGATACTCTTCAATGTCTGTGAAGGAAACCAAAGGGAGATGGCTTTTTTCGCCAGCCCCCCACCCCCATCTAGCACCCAGTTGATCGAATGTTCTTTCTGACGTGATGCTTTAAGGGGATACATAAGGAGCCCAGTACTTGCTTTCATTTTGTTTTACCAAAAAACATCTGGTTCACGCAAGGCTTGGGTACCCCACATTTCTGAGTCTCTACTCCATACAGACAGTGTATCGCCTGTGGATTCGTCGAGCTGAAGCACTGTTGAGGAGTCCAGTATGATACTAGAATCTGCAGGATGCTTAACAGCACCAAGCCCACAGAAGCCACAGGTGTCCTCGTTTCTCAGAAACAATCACATTGAAAAAAGGAAAGGTACCAACACACCCCTCCCAGACATAGGATGGTTTTCCCTTTGTTTTCTTTTAGGGGGAGGGGGTGCTTTAAACAAAAATGGGGCGCCGGTGTCCTTTTTGAAACACCAGGCAGCTGCACCGGTCCTGCCCGTTTAGGAGCTCTACGAGCATGACGTGGCCTATGTGAACCGGGCTTCACGGCTGCTTTATACAAATCCGGGGCCAGAGACGGGGTTCGGCGGAGACATCGGTTTCGGCTGAGGGGAGGGCGTTTCATGTTGACCTTGGGTCCAATTGAGGCTTCGACTTGAAAGAGGCGCAGAAACTTGAATGGCGCAGAAAGAAGTACTGAATGGCGCAGGTTTCGGCACGGGTTGCAGGGACCCGGTGCGAGCCAACTGAATACACATGCTCACTTGATAGAGGAACCCTTACTACTCCCTGCCCCGATGTTTTAAACGAACAGCACCACTGGCACCTGTGTCACTTCGGCAGCGCTCGAAGCAAATGGAAGAAGTCAAGCAGTTTACTTGATGGACAAACAGTTGTGTCAAACAGTTGTTGGGTCTCCACCAGCATGCTGTTGTAACTGTATCTTGGGAATAGACCTGTATTGGAACAGAGTTGGACATTGCCTTTTCTGTTGGTGGTTCCCAGCCATCCGGTTCCTTAGCCTGTTTAGCCTTTTAGTGGTAGTTTCCATTTGACCCACTAAATGTTAGCCACTTTTACCGGGGGATCAGAAAACGGGCAGCCCAGTTCTGTGTTCCCCAGAAGTGGCACAGGTGTGCATCGACAACAAGCTCAATGTGGGAAAGTGGTACGACGCCGGGCACCCAGCGATTGATTCAGTAGCCTCGAATGGGCTTGGCGAATTCTCAGCTAGGTCTTCCGGTAGTGCCCTTTTACCCTTTTGATGGGGACCTACTAAGATTGACCACAGAAAAAAGGGCACCTTATTCTAACCTCTCGACTGGAGGACCATTTGTCAATAACTTTACCCCACTTGAGTTCCCCTCCTGTCCACTAACAAGCAGAAAAGGTGCGACTGAGCCGCATGTCAATTTGGGAAGTTACCCACCCCATTCGAGTTATCCCCGCTTATAAGCCCTCCGTTTTGCAGGTGGAAAGTTTCACTTGCCAGGTGGGGTCATTCAAGTGCTCCCCTTTTGAGTCTGGTGTGAATGTTAATTAGGGACTGTTGGGTGAACATGATTTAGCTGGGGATTCATGTCCACCCAACACTTTGAGGTGGTTCATGGTGGCTCCATTCTATTGAAATAGCCAGGTTTTACCCCTATTGGCATGTGCTTTGCTCAGGGAGCTTTACGTTCTCATGTGTGTAGCATCCAAAAGGACCCCATTTGTTGGAACCCATTTGGGGTCACCCACATGCTTTGGTTTAGGAATTCGCCAAATGATTCGTCTCGCTTGGTGTGGGGTTCACAGGGGGTTTAACTGGTTTCGCAAATCCTTGACCAGCTAATAAGTAGCACCCAGGTTGACCTAGGGTCGAGCGCGGATCAATGCACCTGGCGGAAACATGGCTGTGTTTTTTCCAGTGGACCCCCCAAATGGTGGTGTTACTTTTGGCTTGAACTTATTGTTTTAAACACCAACGAAAAAGGGGTCCCAAAACAACAAATAGGGGATGTTCCCCAAAGTTCGAGCAACTTCGGCTCAACCGTCCCAGGATCAAACCACAGGGACCGGACAAATTGGCGGCGGTCCCTTTGGTTTTCCTTCAACACTACCAAAGGGATACCCTAAAAAGACAACCCCATGACGCGGAGAAGGCATCTGCTTTTCATCTCGAAGATCTGATGATTGGAAGCTCCGCCCTTTCAACTCACTCCCAGAGTTCGACGGACACGAGTCCTCGGCCGGGCCAGAGTCACAAATTTTAGCCTGTGGCCAGTCCTTTGCGGGAGTGAATCAATCGACCAGGGATTGCATTGATCATGCAATCTTCTTCTTTTTTAGAACCCAAAGAGCCAATGAAAAAAAAATCAGACCTCCAGCGGTGCCCTTCCTTGCTTTGGTTTTTGACGGGCTTCCCTCTCCACATCAGCCACTTGCATCATTGCACCCTCCATTGGAGAGGCCAGAGCCCATTTGAGAGAGTTTGTGCCCTCAAACAGGCGAGACTCTTGAGGTGCCAAGACTCTTAGGGCACCACAAGCTGCCCTTGCCTAAAATTCGCTGGGGCTGCGGCCCATAGGCTTAGAAGACATCCTGGTTCCATAAAAAGAGATTCCCCCAACTTGATGAAGTCAGGTCACCCGCAACCAGATGGCCACCAGTGTGGAGCACCTCTACGACACCCAATGCAAAGTCCTGGAGCTGGATATGTCCCGCTGGCCTGTTCCTTCAGCTTCTCAAGCCCCGTGAAGGTGCTGCCAGGGCTCCTTAAAAGATACAGGTTGCATCATTCTGCCCATTTGAAACATGGCTTCTTCCACCAAAATAGAGGGACACCACCATTTACAAGGCAATGCTCAGGTGTAAAATGTAAGGATCCCTGTTGCTGGTTTTCAGTGAGGAATCAACAGGGGGGATCACTTAAAGGAAACCACAAAGGGATGGTAGCTCAGCTTACTTCATGCCATAGTCAACACCCAGGTACAGGCGGGTGAAAGTAGATGCTCATAGTTTGGTTTTACCATGGTTGTTGTTGGGACACATTTTACATGTTTGCTTATTTTGGCTTAGTGGGAAATATCCACTTAACTGCTAGAACTTAATTGTTTGTTTCCCTTCCAACGTCAACCTTGCCTTTTCCCGACATTGGAAGTCTGTTGAAACCCGTGGTTCTTATGGAAGGTATGCGGCTCGTGGAAAACCAAGGCTCTTTGCAAGCTCAGGGCAGAAGGTACTTGGTTTGGCCGGTAAGTTGTTGCAACCCAGGATA